ACCCAGTTAGCTTTGCACAGCAACTTCTTTCATTACCGGAGTCTTTTTTCACACATACACACAGTATCTGTACTTGAGTAAAGAATTTGTGTACTTTGGCCACCTCTGATTGTGCTGTGGGAACAGTCTCTGACAAACACTGACTGCTGGTTTAAACATTGAGAAGGTTCTGGGAGATAAATAGAGCGTCCATTACATTTATTACTTTTAAATAAATAACTTCATTTAGAATTAGTCGTTTTCAGTGGTCAATAGAAAAGCTTAAAACAAGGGATGTAGTGTTGAGTTATTCCTACGAGGTTTTTAGTTTTATTACCTTGCATATGATCATGACATCATTCAAAGCGGACAGAAACAAAATAAAATGGCTGTTTCAGTCGTTCTCCTCAGTTGTACGCAGAGGGACTCACACATACTAACATGCATGTGTGGCCAGACCAGCTCTGTAAACAAACCCCAGAGAGGCTGCGATAGCAACACAAGCAGAGGGAGTGTGACGTTGTTCTCTGCTCAGCAGGCCACGACTCCACTATACACGAATCCAGAATGTGTTCCACCATCTAGCAGCACCACCATTATTGCAGTGGCAAGTCGTATTGACAGGAGCGTGCCTATGTTCCCACAGCCCTATGTTCCCACAGCCCTATGTTCCCACAGCCTAATGTTCCCACAGCCCTATGTTCCCACAGCCCTATGTGCCCACAGCCCTATGTTCCAACATTTCTAAGATTTTTTTCAAAATTAGGCCCTATGTTCCCACAGTTCCTTTTTCATAAATTTGGATTTTCTCCCCCTTTCTCCCCCTAACACTAACCCTAACCCTAACCCCTAACCCTAACCACATAGGGCTGTGGGAACATAGGGCCTAATTTTCAGTGAAAAAAAGAATTCTTAGAAATGTGGGAACATAGGGCTGTGGGAACATTAGGCTGTGGGAACATAGGTCTGTGGGAACATAGGGCTGACCCCGTACTGACTCTGTGACAGCAGCATGGGTAGTTGGACCCCCAGTTACTGATTGAGGTAAGTTATATGGATGGTTATTTTAGCCTTATTTAGATTTGACAGATTAGTGAGACATTTGTTACAACATTCGCCAGTCATTGTGTTACATTTAAGTTACATTTAATCACCAAAGACCGATTATACTATTATAAATGTTCATTAATCAATTAATCGCTTGGCATGTGAACATCTCGGTTCTCTACACGCGCAGTTAATCTGTGTAAAGTGTTTGATCTGAAATAGGGACACTCTTCATTAAGGGCTGCATGTTTCACATCCAGTTGAAGTTTACCACTAATGTTGGATCAGCGGATAACTGCAAAGGTTCTTCCTGATTTTCCTAGACATCGTTGTTAACGTAAATAAAGAGAAAAGTAGAAATTTGTTCTTTTCTTAGGACAGCTTGCATTCAAACGCATGCATATTGAGACACTACAGTAATGGCGACTTGTTTACTTCCAGTATCTTTATATAGCAAATAGTTGTTTGCTGCCATATTAATGTTTTAAATCTCACATATATAACCGTATAAACAGTTGTAAATTACATTACCTGAAACCCTCAGAGAGGTTTTCACCATCCTAAAACAGGAATTCAAAGAGCCTTTCTGGTATGATGATGACCCAGAAAAAAAAACCCCTGTGGAGAACCCTGGTGAGAATGGGTTCAACTTTAAAGACAAAGAGTTCCCATGAATTCTAATAACTAATAATATAATTACTGTCACTGAAGTCAGCAATGCATGACTCTCTCTCTCTCACCCCAACTGGTCGAGACAGACGACCACCCACCTAGAGCCGAAGGATCTGTCCTAGGTTTCTACCTTTTAACAGGCAGTTTTTCCTTGCCCTTGTCGCCAAGGTCTTGCTCATGGTGGTACTGTTGGGTCTCTGTAAATAATGTTATAAAGAGTTCGGTCTAGACCTGCTCTATTTGAAAAGTGTCCTGAGATAACTTCTGTTACGAATTGGCGCTATACAAATAAAATTGAATTGAATTGAATTGAATGACAAATTCTGTTTTTAAATGTGGTGTAGGCTGAGCCGAGGGGGAGTTAGTTCCTCTGTTGGTGTGTGTCTGGTAGCAGATGCCCACACAGTAATGTAATCAGTGTCTGGAAATGAAGTTAGATGTGCACTGGCAGACAAGCCACACCCATGAACACAGGAAAAGAGGAAGAGGATGACTCACACCCAGCCCACTTCTCTGTTTCTCAGCAACTACACACCATATTCACTAGAAATAAACTAATGTCAAAGCTACAAAATCTATTCAATCACATGTACGTTTCCTTTAGGTACATTCACACCAACCCTGCAACCTGAGGCCAATTCTAAACTTCTGAATAAATAATACACTTTGAGTCATTGTGCAGACATTTTAACCCCTGAAGTGCTGACATATAAGATCACCCTCTGACAAATGGCTGCCTTCATCGCTCTGTGGCAGGAAAAATGGGTGACTGTTGGACAGACAATGCCCGGACGGAGCCGCCTTAGATTGTGTGTGGTTTATTATTAGCGGCCTGTTGAGTGTGTGTGAGTGTGTATGTCTGTCTGAGACGTGAGTCCAACGGCTGCTGTGGACAAACCAGCTGACTGTGGCAGCTGACGGCCTGCGGTCAGCTCAGTCAGCCCCGGGTGGGTTGGGCTAAGAATTGCATGGATGTCCCTTCTTTGCCAACCAACTTTATTTCCTTCTCTGTCTTGTCTCTGAAGTTCAACCCTTTGGAATAGATAAATAAAAAGTCAAATGATGTGAGAACGTAAATCTCTCTGGAAACAACATTTTATATGTAATGTACTTTTGGTATTTTCTCTACCAATTAAAGGTCCAGTGTGTAACATTTAGGAGGAACTATTGGCAGAAATGGAATATAATATTCATACCCATGTTTTTATTTGTGTATAATCACCTGAATATAGAAAACATTATGTTTTTGTTACCTTAGGAGGAGCCTTTTATAAGGTGTGCCTTTCACTCCCACCATCTCTCCTTCCTGTTTGGTTAGCAGAGAGTGAAGTGAGGAAGTTGCAGCCTGCAGCTACACCGTCACTAAATCCTTTTAAAAAAAATCATTTAGCAGTATACGTTTTACTGACTCTTCCATTAGCGTGAATTATTTACAACTGAACATGGGAAGCTTCGCCCTTAGGTAGCCTACTCTGCTCTTATAGCTGTGAAATAAATGAAGTGTAAAAAGTACAACATTTCCCTCTGAAATGTAGAAATATAAAGTAGGTTCAATCTGAAAACTCCAGTACCTCAAAATTGTTTTAGTAGATTAAGTAGATTTACTCAGGGGCGTGTCCATAGGGGGGGCCTGGGATCGCACTGGCCACCCCTGAAATGTGATTATCCACCCCAATTGCCACCTCATTATCTTTCTGCTCTGTTTTAAAACTATAGTGAAAATATTCTATCATATGAAACATGCCAGCATGTTGGGAAGGGGCCCTCTGCCCTCAGGATATAGGAATGAAAACGATTCCATGGGTACCCAATAATCTCCCCTTTGCAGACACGCCCACTTTATGCCAATCCCACACAGTTTTTTACTTACAGTATAAATGTGTTTCCCCTAGTGTGTTTGAATATTTCTGCATCCTGGGGTCCATAAACAGTCTTGGACTTGCATAAACTGTGAATGACTAGAGAAGCTGCAGACACATACTTCATGCCACCCCTGCATAAGTCAGTGCCCCACTTGTGCCACGCCAGTCAAAAAAGTCTGGAAACGCCCCTGGATTTACTCAAGTACAAATCAAATAGATGAAACAGACTTTAACACACTGACACAGATAAAAAGCACTAGAATTATGTCTCCTGTTTCATTTGAAGAAGACCATTAACGTTGACGTACACCGTTTTTTCCTGTGATCACAATAAGTTGTCACTTACTGTAAAGCTGTTTATTATCACACAATAATTATTCTTTGATTTAGAGTTTTGACACCTTATGTTGAGATGAATTGCTTGTTATGTTGAGATAATAAGACAAACTGTTTTCTTGTGATTAATCTCAAGGAAATAATATATTCAAATGTTTTTTAAAAGATGCTATTTTAATCATACTTTTAAACCCTTTGTAACATTGTCTCTAGGTTTAGTGTGTGCACTGTATGTAGTCTCTCCAGCTTAATGATTGTGCCTTTGAAATCACTTTTGTCATAGCTTCTTTATTTTAGCTTCTTGGAGGCAGAGTGACTTCACGTCAACCACGCGACTCGTGCTCTGCAAGCTCCAAGCTAAAACTTCATTAATATATCCAAAAATCATCGATTTTGCTTCAAAACATTAACGAAATATCTCATCCTTAGACCTTTACCCGTTTCTGTCCCTGACCTTTGACCTCCTCTGTGGAAAAAACAGGGAGGAGGAGGGAAAGAACAGCTTATTTCTCTATTGGAGATCAATTAAGTATCACATTTCATTGATCTGCTCTTAAAGTGGCTCAATGAACGAGATTACACACACACACACACACACACACACAGTGTTCTGAATCATGACGTGTGGTTATTCTGCATGAGAATATGTTTTTTTTTTTTATCTGGGTCCTTTGAATGGGTTGCATTGTGCTCACCATTTGTAATCCAACTATAAATTGCACTATAGTTACATAAAATACTCAAATATCAAAATATAAAATTTAAAATAAAAGTACTATAAAGTTGAAAATAATGAACATACCGAGGAGAAGCTCTCCTTTTCTTTTAGTTTTGGGTCTTAAGAATGAAGCATTTACTACAAAACAAGTGATTTCACATCTTAAACAACATAAAGATACTTATAAAAAAAGCAGATTTCCTAAAAAAAAACGAGTCAACATTTTGGAAACATGAGCATCTTGACCCAGTAGCAGCTTCCTCTGCGTCTCTGCAGTTTGGGTCCTGCAATACCAAACATTAGACTGCCATCTAGTGGTGCCAACATGGTACTGCTGTCACACTCAGAATAACACACACTCACAAAGAAATGACACGAACTCAAACTTTTCTGTAGGTCAACTTGTCTATTTAATATATAAAATACGGTAAAACATACGCAAAAAGGGGAGGAGGGTAAGAGGGGACCAATGGATACTTTGGTACAATAACAAACACTTTTTTTTGTAAAAGCAGTATAGAATTTGTAATAACATATCAGTGCATACTTTATTTATGAAAATATACACAAATTGTATATCATTCTCCAAAAACAACAAAAAAATTATCTTTACAACAAAAAAGCAGACTAGCCGAACACAATATATTAGCTATAATTTATTTTAAACTTTTTTCTTCAATTTTTTTTTCTTAAATGTATTTCTGTGTGATGTATATTTGTGTCGATATTACATTTTATTTCCTATAACATGATTCACTCTTCGCTTGTTTTTAAAACGCCCATGCATTGACATCATTGTGTCTGGTCAGAAATAAGTTAGACGTGTCACGCTGCCCCCCCCCACCCACCCACCCACCCCATGTTAGCATGTGTGGACTGAGAGGTTTGTACATTGGACTCAAAGTTGCAGCATTGAAGCGGTTTGTCGCAGTCGACTCGTTCGGCGCCTCCGTCCACAGCCACGCGTGTACTAATATCACTACGCTTGTGTTGTTTGTTTCATGTCATAAAAATCGTGCAACATTAGTAACACCCTTTTTTTGAAGAAGAAAGGAAAACAAATCCCGAAAAAGAGAAAACAAAAAATATATTTATAGAATATTTTTCATATAATAAAATAAAATCAAATTCCAAATAAAACAAGATGCCTAACCTACACAAAAGAAAACGCAGATTTCTATATCATCACGACAGCTACCATCAGTGTAAGCTGTGGTAATGATGATAATAATAATAATATCAATTCTCAGAGAACAATTAAAAACAGACTGTCACCAGCACAAATTAACACTGGAAAGTGAGTGAGACTTCTAAACATCATTATACAGGAGCAAGTATCGCTTTTTTCTGTGTGTGGGAGGGGGGATGCAGGTTCTTTAAACTATTTCTCAGCACGATTGTCTTTCGGTTTTGTGATTACAGCGACCCCTAGTGTTGCTCTATAGAACGTGCCAGGGCTTCACGCGACCGCTGACGAAACTCCCGTCGCAAAAAGGAAGCCATTTTGTTTCGTTTTTTTGACAAACCTATGGCTTGCGGCCTCAATACGTGGGGTCGAGTTTTGTTTCTGTTTTTTTGTTCGGAGCTCAGAGTACAACAGTCTTAACAGTCAAAGTGTTTACACTCTTGGGGGGGGATTTATGTTCACTCTGCCACGCGCTCAGAAAAGCAATATTAACACTCAGACTTGTCACAGAGTGGATGAGTGTGTGTGAGTGACAGACGGAGAGAAAAAAACCAGAGATGAAGTGAGGAGAGGATGATGGGAGTAGTGTGTGATGAGGCTGGGGTGTCGGGTTGGGGTGGGGTGGGGGGGTTTGTGTTACTCATGGAAATGACCCCCCAAAATAATTTGACTTGTCATTTCAGCGCTGACACCCGCTGTCTGGACGGAGTAAACAGAAAAGTAGTGTGTGATGAAAACTGTATGTGTGTGTGTGTGTGTGTGTGGTTTTGAGATTAAACTTCCAGAGGGGAGAAAAAAAGCCCCGACTGAGTGAGTGAGTGAGTGAGTGACAGGGGTGAGAGGGAGGTGAAGAGGGCCTGCCCGTGAGAAGGATGTGGTGGCTGGATGTAGTAAAACCCAAAGTCGACAAGTCTGCGTTGGATTTGGGAGGTAGTCATTAAAAGATCAAGACTCGTTCTGAAACCTCCGGCTTAACGACGAAACGATACCCAGACTGCCTCCAAAGCTTTTAACAAGCAAATGGACGGAGGCTGAGAGTGCTTTTAGGAAAAAAAATAAATAGATGAATTTGCACTCTTGACCTCTAAATCTACCCACTAAACCCTAAATCACCCATTGCCACTTTTACGCAGTACAAAAATGACATCCTTCACATTTCTTTTACCTTCATAGTCGTTTTTACCTCTCCGTAATATAAAACCACAGCCAACCAGTGACAGGCGAAGGAGAGATCCTTTAAATATACACACATGGCTTCTAACAGGAGGAAATGGGGAAACCTCGAAAACAAAGGGCGGACAGGGGACATCCATCGCTTAATCGTACGCTGTCTGTGTGTCTGCTAGAGTTCGACTGATATGTTTGTGACAGATGATGCTGGCATGGACGCTGCAAATACTTTGATATGCCAAAACATTACTTAACAATAAGTAAGGATTATATCTGCAAACGTATTTTTTGGGAGGGAGTTTAGACCCTCATGGGACACTCAACTCTAAATGTAGGCAGAAAGGGGTTTTGTGCATGCTGCTGATGCCTTTAAAAGATGAAACTACTAAATTTAGGATTATTTTCTGTGGTTAATTAGTTGCTTAATTGATATTAAACTATCATGATTATTGGGTTTACAATTGCTGCAATTAGCAATAAACTAAATAAAATGAGCGTGCAAATTCTTTCTGCCGTTATTCATGTTTTAAATAAAATTGAAAAAATATATATAAATAAAAATATCTTTTAAATAGCCTTTTAGGTTGTACTTTGATATTTTTACTAATTTCTCTCCCCTCATATTGTCTTAAAGTGAATTCAATGAATGAATTATACTAACTGCAAACAGGCAGCCACTGATAAATATTTAAGGTGGTCCAGCTCAGAGTTGTAAAGGGAGCTCTGGTTCATTGATGTACAGTAATAAATTATTTAAATTAAATTACAACAAAACAGATTTTTTTTAGGATTAAATAAAAAGTGCACACATTTATTTGTATCTGCTGAATATTAGATTTTGAACAAACCAGCCAGTAATATCAGTCTAACCCTAGTGTGTATGTACAGGACGTGTGTGTGTGTGTGTGTGTGTGTGTGTGTGTGGATCAGGTGTGTTAAGGTGTCAGGGGCGGGGGTTAAAAGGTAAAGTGCGCTCCATCAGTCCTAACCATTGCTCACTCAAAACAGTCCGAGTCACCACGGCTACGTCTTCCCTTTCTGCCTCTACAGCACCCTCTCTTGGCTCGTCGACATATTACACTTTATATACACGCATAAATAATAATAAAAAAGAGACCGATCCACTGAGAATCAATGTGTTTGCTTTTTTTCTGTTTCGTTGAGGGATATCCTGCCGAATATATAGTTAATATATACAATCCCTGTCGTCTATCGTCGTCGCCCCAGATGCAGAGCTGCCCTCGCTACCGCCTGAAGCTGTTTAAATATATACTTGTATATGATTTTTTTTTTACCTTCAAAACACCTTATCCCTGTCACACAAAAGCCACAAAGGTTACAGATTGCTTATATACATGGTACCTCACGAATCTCCCCTTTGAACATCAGCTATCTATTCAAAACATGAGTCGCTTCACAAAAATAATTTCAGCTGTGTGCATTGCAGGTGTGTGTTCAAGGATGAAATTGAGAATGAACATTTGCCCAAATCACTTTGTTAAAAAACGACCAGTTGAGGTAACAAACCCGTATACACACACACACACACACACACACACACACACATCAAACACACACACACACACACATGCCTTTCTCAGCATCTGGAGTTGACAAGATGTGGGCAAAACTAGGAGTATCTGCGTCATGTGTCATTGAGCTCTTGCAGCTCGTCCCTGATTCAAAGAAAAGCAGTCTTTTACGTCGGCAACAAATCGTGTTCCTCGTTTGACAGCTAGTCTGCATGTTTCAGATTAAACGAAGACCCGGGGGTCGTCAGTCTTGTACAGGGCCAAAGTGCCGGGCCTGTTGTTGACGCGGCCACCGGCTCGGCTGGGGAGGGAGTTTTTCTTTTTAGTGTCTTCATATTCAAAAACTGAAGCGAATCCAAACTCTAAAGATCAACAGTCGAGACAGAAGGACAAAACTCCACGCTTTAAAAAGAGCAAAATGGCCCGAGGCTCTTAGAAAAGAAACAAGACTCTAGAGCGACAGCGATACAACCGTGGTCGGGCCGATGTGTACAAACATGTGGACTCATTTGGTGGCACTGGCTCAATGCAGTGCAGTTTGTGGTTGACCAAAACCTACTGATGAACAGTAAGGACGAGAAAGCGGGAGCATACCACCAGCCGCTAAGCTAATGCAGGGCATGCTGGGAAACCAGGTTTGTCTGCTCTGCCAGCGGCTCGGGTGAAATAGGCCTGATTAAAAACGTACTCATTCACTTCCACTCAAATACAGCTGAATAAAGTCCAACACTGGAACTGTTTTGAATAATCCCTGGTTTGGTGGCTCAACCCCTCGGGGTTCTGTGTATGTGTGTGAGTGAAAGTACATTAGAGTTCAAATGTGTATGCACATTGGCGTACAGGTGCGTGTCAGTGTCCATACGTGCGACATGAGTGTGTCAGCATGCTTGTTGTGTGTGTGTGTGTGTGTGTGTGTGTGTGTGTGTGTGTGTGTGTGAGGTCAGTGTTTCCTGTGTGGACAGCAGGTTACTGGGTCGATGGCGGGGATATATATTTATATGTTGTGTGTGTGTGTGTGTGTGTGTGTGTATGCATGGGGAAGGAGATCAGGGGCATCAGGGCTGGTGGGGGCATGTACACAAGCCACAAGTACACATCTCCATCTCCATCCTCCATCTGTCCGTCCGTCCATCCATCCCTCTCCGCTCATCTCTTCATGTGACCCAGGTATCCAGTCTCATTCTCTTGACGTTGGTCCCGTCCTGCTCCTGGGGCTCGGCCGAAGAGGGCCGCAGGAGGACCATGGTGGGCTGCTGGGCCCCGGCGCTGGCCTGGTGGTGGAAGTCCAGACCCCCGCCTCGTCCCTGGGTGCCGTCGTCCCGGTCGCTGCCCTCATATGAGCTGCCGTTGCTGCTGAGGCTGTCGACTGGCGAGCGGCCTTGACCTCCCGCTTCCAGGCGCAGGGTACCCGGGTAGGCGACCGTCACCAGACCTTGTCCCTGGACTTGACCCTGGCCTCCTCCGCCTCCACCGCCGCCGCAGGTGGAGCTGGGGGTGCTGCGGTCGCGGTTTGGTGAGACGGGTTCGGACTTGATGTTGACGTTGGGGTTTGTGTTGACTGTCAGTGCGGCGCCCTGAGTTATGTGGCTCACCGGCCTGGAGAGATGGAGAGGGGACAGAAAGAAGAGAACAGAAGACAAACAAAACAACGTGAGACTACAGACAGGATCAAGAACATAATTAAAGAACCACCTGAGTTATCCTTGAACATCACATGAGAGCAGACCTTCACCAGACAACAGTTTGCAGGGATGTCGCCGTCACTGATGCAGATAAACAGAAACTGGGCTTTTACGGATAAGCTAGCCATTTGCAAAGACAAACACCCAAGACATTCTGCAGCAATGCTAGAAACCGGGCACACGTAGGCTTGGTTGGACGTCAGCACATGGAGAACAAGGACACACGAAACAAAGAGGCCACATTAAAGCACAGTCCATAAGCCATGCAGCCCCGACATCCCTGCCTTTTAGATACGGTCCGTTATGGTTCACGCTGCACACCTGACCCTTCCAAAGCCCCGCCCCTTTTTTGCTCTGCGCTCCAATAACAGTTGAGCACACCACAACATTTTGTTGATGGTTAAAAGATAAAAGGCACCATAGATATGGTCACATTTTAAGTTAGCTAATGTTAGCAAAAAATCGAATGTTTTATTTACGATTAATGTAGATTAAATAGCTACTTAGCTTACGTTGTTACTAAATAAAGAACTTATGCATAAAGGCTTTTATGTTTTAACCATTTTCAAAATGTAGTGATCTTTTCAATATAGACGAGGCTGGCACAGGATATCGAAGTACACATCTGATCTGAGCTACAATACGTCATCAGGATCACAGGTAAGATGCCTTCCAGATGAGAGGTTTGTGTAGCATTCCTCATCAGAGCACAACTCTTTGCTGCAAGTCACATTCTCTGATATGAATTCCACAACAGATGTAGAAACAGTTGAATATGAGCATCAGTCCAGACTACATTTCTGTTCTGTTCGGCTTCCACAGCATGACAATCTGCAGGCTATCAGATATCAACATCTGTCCGTCCACCTGCAATAACCTTGTGCATCTGTGTATTCGGCACCACTGCTCGAACTGGAAGGGGATCAAAAGTCAGACCTTTAGGCAACTGTGGCAACATTTAGTGGCACCTTTTTTCTGCTGTGATTAAGAAGTCGAGGGATACAAGACACAATTAAAAAACATGTCTAATTAGTATCAGCCAGCTAATCTGAATATAAAAATGAGCATGAGAGTTAGTGATTCCTCTGCTTTTCCTCTCAAAGAGGACGGCCACTCTGAGGCAATGTGGATTTGATAATAGAAGATCCATGAACCAACTGTTGGATGCTGCTCTTCTCATATGTTTGTGATTCTGTCATTGTATTTCAGACGGACTATTGCGCAACACATCATCACCAGAACTGTCAGATTGTTCCGGGAGATTCAGAGGGTCCATGTTCCACCTATTGGCAGCGTTCAGACGTGATGTGGTTACAGATACCGGCCAGACTATGAAATACGAGACAGGAATGCCAGTTTGAGAAATACATCCATGGGTTTTAAGGATTAACAGACGCTGAAAGACTGCACAGAGGTTTATACTACGATGAGGAACTTAACTTCACAACAACAAAAAAATCATATCCCCTGACTCCACGATCGTAAACAGTAGAATTGACCCCTCCTATGTCCCGCCCCTTCAATCTTTGGCTAGATAGTTACAGCTCAAAGCTCCAAACGAGTCTAGAACATAGCATATCTACAGGAAAGGAAAGGAGAACGTTTGCTTGCTCAACTGTTATTGGAGCACAGAGCAAAAAGGGGCGGGGTTTAGGGTGGGTCAATTATGTTGTTCATGTTACAAATAATCTAGCTGGGATGTGTGCTTTCACCTGTTTGATTGCTCAAAGCAGTGCATTGCTGGATGAGATTTGGTTATGGCTAGCAGATACAATGTTTTAGCATTGTTTGGATGACTGTTCTGACTTTATGCCACGTAACCAGTCAGTCCCTCCAGCTGGTTCTGATGTTACAATCACAACAATTAATGTCAATTCTACCAATCACTGTGAATTCTCTGTGACCTTGCAATTTTCTCCAATCACTGCAACTTTTCTCCAAATTTGACTGATCATAGTTTCCTGCATGAAACGCTAATAATAATTTACAAATGTGAGACGTTTGCGTGACTCTGCCTGGAAAAAGTTCCCTTATATTTTTAATGAAATATACAAACATGCATTACAATTTTTTAGAAAAACTGCTGAGAAATCAGATATTTTAGGCTACAACAATCCTAAAAAAAGCCTGTAAAATCTTGGAGGGTCTGACCAGTGCGTCAACAGAGTAGTCTCATTGAAATGAATGAGTGGGCAGTGTCTGACATGGACTTACTCAGCCACCACCAACATCTAGACTTTCTAGTCACATCTTTCTAGTCATATCTGTCTTTTAATTTAAAGAAATAGCTTCACATTAATGGAGTTTAATCACCAAAGTCTGTTACTATCTCACAAAATAGTGTTAAACATGTCGAGTTGTTCACATCTCTCTCATTTTTAGTTTTAAAAGTATGATCATCGTCTGAAGAACACGCTCCAGCATTTCATTAGGCTGCACTAAACTTCTGTTCACGTGCCTTAAGATGCTCGGGACAAAGTGCCAAACAGCTGACATCTGTGTCAGTGTCTCTACCTGCCACGACTCTTTGATCAGCCCCCCCACCCTCACACTCAGCCTCCCTCCTCCTCCTCCTCCTCCTCCTCCGCTGGCTGGAGGCTGAGTCGAACCTGTCACCGGGTCTGACACCGGCTGTTGACGCTGCACTGTGGCTCGCTTCTTTGACGGTGTCGACAGGATTTTTCGGATGGTGCTCGTTTTCTCTCTCTCTCTCCCCCAGCTTGACACGGTCGATCTGAATTTGAGGCTCCCAATTACTGCGTTTCGCCCCTCGGGTGTGTTCTAATATGTCATATCATGAGCCATCTGCAGCTCTGTATCTCTAATATTCCCTCAATTACTGGCAGACTGAGAGGGGAATTTAAGATAGCACTCCTTCAGGCGATCTGGGTCTGCGGCACTCAAATGTGCTCGCTGTCTTGCTCCTCTACTTTAACTCATGCACTCTTGCTGTCTTACATACAAATGCTTCTTCCCTCCTACTCTCACACACACACACAAATCCCTCGGTGGTGGCGAGGCTCACTCCGTCTCTCGCCGTGCCCACTTCATCAAACCTGCGCGTCGTGGCTCAGGCCGGCACAGGTAGATGGATGGCGGTGCCACGGGGGGGCCGTTGCTATGGCGGGTGAAAACGGCAGAGTCAGCGGGCCGGTGACAGTGATGAAGGCGAGAGCGGCAGGCTACCCCCGAGCACTAACAACACAGCGAGCACAGCCAGAAGCAGACACTTGGTTACAGTGTGGTGTGATTAGATGCAGCCGTGTTTCCCAAAATGCTCTGCTTTTCTCAGGACCAACAAGCTGCAACATGACTCTTCTTTAATTAAATTCAAATCAGACAGATCAGTCATTTCCACAACTGTGTGTTGTGCATAATTAACAGTTTGTTACTTAGTTTGACAAATGACAGTCAGTGTAGCAGACTGTATTCTAGTTACATTAGTTTTTTATTTATATCGTTTGATATTTAAAGGGGAACTCATGGGGAGTGCTAGTCCCCATAACAAACCGGGTTATTAAGTTAAAAAATGTTTACCAGGGAGAGAGTGTAACAAAAAGATGCCATGACTGCATCGTAGGAAATGTAGGATTCAGTATGTTGCGATCTTGGCCCATACTAGGGACTATAAGGTGAAATATCTCAGCCTCTGCTTTGATTCTGACTATTTATTTAAAATCTGTCACTTGTGAGTCCCCCAACTTAAAATGGTAAGACTAAATTGCTAGAATACTTTAAATTATGTTTATTCCTTTTGTTCCTTATCAAAATACCTAGATTTAACCTTTCTTAAATGCTACTCTCACATAATAAATAAATTATGAAGAGTTCTCTAAATAGTCACTCAGTATTTTGGCCAGGACAGGATTAAGTACTGGAATTGATTGTAGGTGCCTTTTGACATTTAAATAGTTACTCTTCCACCCATAGGACACTAGCACTATGAAGCATTTTCAATGCTAATACTATGAAAAGGAATATGACAATGTCATACACGTACCAATAGATCAGAGCTGATTAGCCCTGTTGTTAAAGTAATCCAGGAATATTTCATGAAACTTATAAATGCTTGAAAGCTGTTGAAGAGATGTCAAAGTTTTGTTTTTAACTGGTTCTCAAACAGCCTAAATGTAACACTGATGCCTCTATATGAGCTACATACACAAAGGAGACCATCAGCGGGAAGACTGGCCGTTTCTATATCGTTATTCTTAATGTCTGAAACGAGGCAGTGGGAACGCTACCGATTTTGTCCACAGGGGCCGCCAGAATCAACACAAATTTTCCCAGTTGCTGCTTTACATTTAAAAGTAAATGTCGCCAAATATCACATTATTTAGCATATTCACTCAGTGCCGTGATACATTAGTACTTTCAGTCAATGCAGTTCACTATAACATATTTAGTTATGTTCTCTTTCAATTTATTCCTAAGTAAATTTTCGTTTGTTGTACATCCTACAACTAATTACTTCTGTGTTTGCCTCATAAGAACCCTTCCTGTGTTATCTGTTTTTACACAGTGACAGTCTCTCCATTGCAAACTGTGTAGTCTGTGCTGATGTCCCTTCATGCAGCAGATATTTTGGGAAAGTGGCATGCTGTAGCTGTGTGGCTGAAGTGTAAAGAGTACAGTACCAGCAGAGGCCGTCCTCCCTGCCAAAGAGCAAGTTGGACTGAGAGGCCAAGCTGTGGAGGGAGGTGGAAAAAAGAGACAAAGCAAGTTTAAAAAAGCTAAAACAGCAGGGAAACAGTGGGACGGAGGCCAGTCACGGTCAGTCACATGGTTACTACAAGAAAAAAAAAAGGCTCAACAGCTGCTTCAGTCACACTGAGATGATGTTAGAGGCAGAGCTGTACGGCAGGAAGTGTTAAAGCCTGCGCTGACACAAATTTGACAGTCGTCCACACGCAATGCATTTACAACAGTCAGCTCTAATAAACTTGAAATCATTGGCTTCTCCTGAGCTGGGATCAGGCCAATGGGAATCCTCAACGGAGACTGCAATTAAAGGAATATACGGTGAATTCTCAAACAGTGTATTTCTAGGGATGCACCGATACCAGTACTGGTGGCTCTGATACTGCACCTGATACCGCTTTACGGCAGTGTGATGTTGCGTAAGCTCTCATTAGTTGAGCAGGTAGACTGAGGTTATTTTAAGCATTAACAGCATTAGCAACATTTCATTATGTACTCATATTGGTATTTGGTTTCAGCAAGTACCCAAATATAAGTATTTTTACTTGTATTTGGTCTGAAATTTGGTGTTGGTGCATCCCTGAATATATTAGAAACATCCCTGTATTTTAATCTGCTGCCATTTTACTGGTCCCTTTGGGTTAAAAAAGGCTACATATGCTAAGGTTTTCCCACTTTTGTTTCCCTCTCAGCCTCTATTTTTCCAAACATTTAAATTCCTTTTAGTCTTTTATTTGAGAATTGATGGTAAATTTTGTAAGAACCCAACATGTTGGGAGCAGCTGATCTGAAGCCACCTCGGTACTGGTAAGTAGAGGTTTTTGATACACAGCTCAGATTGCTGTGGAACAAAGTAACCTGTGACCATCCTAACGACTAAACTAGACTATACTGTATGTTTGGTGCTAAATAAAACAGAAGCATTATCTTCCAGGTAGCAGGAAGCCAAATGAAGCCGCTGCTAGTTTTTACACTGTGGTCTGGGAAAACACTGATTCCTCTGGGGAGGTTTTGCTGAACAGCCTCTGATAGCATGTGTGCATTATGCCCGGCCGACAAACAGTGTGTCCTGTAAGCAATTTAGCAATGTGTGCACTGTCTGCAAGTGTTTTTTTTCTCTTCTAAACCTCAGCTGAGAGAGGGAGGGAAGAGACAGGGTGAAAGAGACAGACTGAGAAAGACAAAGTGTGTTTTTGTGGACGAAAAAAACAAGAACAAAGTGAGAAGAGCACCAGGCAGAAACTTCAGCCACTAATAAAACATTTTATCCACTGTGTTAGCTCCGTACATGGATGGATCAAATGGACAAAACAACACTGATGCACTAGCAGACAACGTCCCTACAAGCAGTTCTGTTTATTTCCTGCAAAAGTGTCCCAAATGGAAGCCCCGTCTGCCGATAACACATCGACTCAGTGAGGAAACAAACAACAAATGGCATCCGGAGAGCAATTCATAAACAGGCAAACCAGCTGAACGCCAGGCTCTGCAGGGAGGTGGATCAGGGGGCAGCCGTGACATTAACATTTAGATTGTGGAGTGAGGAGGAAGATGGGAGTCAACAGGTGTACGCCGAATTAAACCGAGTCCGACAAAAGAGCAGGAAATAAGCGGGAAGACGGAAGTAGCGGAAGCGGAATGATTAAAAAGAGGGATGGGAGAGGGCAAGATGACAGAAATCATTTCCTCGTGGAGCCTGTGGCGAGGAAAAGTGTGGACGACAGCGAAGGCGAGGCTCACAGCCAAACCGTCATTCACTGTTTGATTGGAAGGGCTTGTTTGCTCGCTGTGAGGCCGCGCTGTGATGAAACCAAAAACAAACCGGAGCGGTCTGGGCTGCAGAAGTGCACACGTCTGCCCATGCTGTCCTAGGACGGCACGATTTTTCCGTTCTGCCGAGAGAACAGTTTGGTGTGCTGGGAAAGCTTCCCACATTTCTGTGGCGCTCGCTTGTTTTCAGTGACAGTGAATCTGCCATTCGGAGCACACACACACACACACACACACACACACACACACACACACACACACACACACACAGACACGACTCACGACTACGCATACACAGACATCCGCATCACACACATACACCACACACACATACACACACAACACACACACACACACACACACACACACACACACACACACACACACACACACACACACACACACACACACACACACACACACACAGTAAACCTGCCTGGTGTTCACTCTATTGTCAAACCTGAGAGTGGATGAAATTCAAATGCTGCTTATTCAGTGAAATCATGACTATTGTTTCCAATGTTTTAAGGAATGTCTTGACTGCTTTAAAGCACACTGACACTCTGGAAGCAAAATATTTTAATACTTACAAACTAGGGCTGCAACTAACGATTTCTTTTAATCATTGACTGATTTCCTAAATATTTTCTTCAAACGTTTTTGGTCAATACAAATAAGGGAATAAGCTGATCACAAGTTCCCATAGACCAATGGGAAGTCTTCAGATGTTTTGTTTTATCCAATCAACAGTCCAAACCCCGAAGAGTTTACTATCACAGAGGACAAAGAAAAAAACAGAAATCATTCACATTTAGGAAGCTGGAAACAGTGAGTATTTGTTTAAATAAATTCCTATTAATATAGCTGCAGATTAACTTTGATAAATACATTCACCCATCCTTTCAGCTCTACATAGAACATATAAAAGAACCTGCAATCCTGCACACTTCTACTCACTTTTATGTGTGCAAGAACATTGTTTTATTACAACTGGGAATATGGAAAGGAAGGCTGTAATGAATATTGCACACTGACATTCTAGTCTGTAATATAAGTCTATTACCAAATGACTTAAAGTAGTAACTCAATTCCTTTTACAATAAAATTATCCTAAGAGTCTAACATCTTAATGCTAACATCCTCAGAATGACAATATTAACACGCTGATATTGAGCAGGTATCATTTTTACCATGTTCACCAATGTAGTTTAGTGTGTTAGCATGCTAATATTAGCTAATTAGTACCAAACACAAAGTACAGCTTGCAGGTATCTGGTCACAAACCAAAGTACTGCACAAAATCAAATGTTGACCTGAAGATGGCGCTAGAGGTGGTGTCACCATCACCGAAGTGGATTGAGTTCATCCTAAAAGGGGAACATCCGAACCATCCGATAGCTGTTCAAATATTTTAATCAAAACGGCAAATGTCAGACCAAAGTGGTGGAGCGACAGACGGACAGCATGGCTGAAAAATTCACTCGTTCCAGCTTCCTAAATTTAAAGATGAGTTTTTCTCAGTTCCATAAAGTTGTGAATGGAGTGTTGAGCTGCTGGTTGGAGAAAATGTTCAAAAGATGCTTTTTTTTCACTACTTTTGAAAGTTTATAGCTTAAATGATGAATAGATGAATTGATAATAATAAGACTAAGTCTAAGTAGTAGACAGTGGTAAATTAAAGATAGAGGTGACTCTTTATGGCCCTCGGCAGAGAAGCAGTAGTTGGATTGCTTCGGCTGATACTCTTTGGGGAAAGTGAGAGCTGGCTGTCTCTGAGAGGTTGGACAGATCTGTTTGCTGAACGATTTGATACAATCTGGACAGCCATTTGTTAACATTTGCGAGGCGATATGAAGAGCTCTGCTGTGTATGAGCTGGTGAGTGTTAACTATGTACTGCTTTTTCAAAGATGCTCAACCCCCTGGAGTCACAGCTGTTGTATACAATAACAAACAACCTATTATCATATTTTCATGGACAATTTTCAGCTTGTCAGACAGAGAAACAAATACCAGTCTCACTCCTGACAGCTGGCATTATTTTTACTGTCTCTTTTTAACACATTTCCGTTATCTTTAATTGTCTCCTTTGTGTTTGAGCTGCGCAGTCTCTTAAATTAACTTCATGACAAGATATGTGTCTAGCTGAGATTGCTCTGAACAAAGGGACTTCAACAGCGCTGTCGAATGCTAAATGCTTATTTTGTATACCAAAAACTACCAAACTAAGATCAGACCTAAGAGTGTTTCAGGATATTAACTGATTATCAAACTCCATCAAATTCCAAACGGCATCTAATTTAATGTTATCTGTAGAAATAACTGGCTTTGACAGCTAAGCTACATCTAAATTATTCTTTTTAGTCATGCTACTGTAGGCATTTGAGGACTACATGTATCTGAGGAATTGAAACTTATTTCTGACTGTCAGCTGACATTGACAGCTAAATGGTGGAAAAGTTAAATTTTAATGCAGTAAGCATGTCAGTGGCGCAGAGCTGTGCGCTGGGACAGTGTTTGGGACTGGAAGCAGCATCCAGAGACTCCTTTCATTCGAGAAGCTTGCGAGGCGCTGCTGCTGTCACACTGCAGCATCTTCCTCTTTGTTCATGACACTTCCAAAGAGCTTCAGATCTTAGCTTTAGGTGGCATGAGAACTCTTTTAACCACACTAGTAAAGTGATAATCTGGGGGAAAAGAAAGTGCCTTGACGGAAGTGAAAGAGCGATGAAGTACAGACAGAGCAAAGCAACAACAGGCATCACGTTCAACAAACAAATGGAGAGAAAAGATGGTTTAATATCAAGTTTGTCATGTAATTGCATCTCTTCTGTAATTTCTTTGGGTTATTTTGTTATTTTGGCTCATAACTGAGCCTGTGAGCAGTGTAATAACGTCACAGATAAAAAGGCATGGCAGAGCTGCGTAGCACTACGATGCTATCATGTCATTCACCTCAGGTTAGCAGCAAAATTGGAGATGCAGTTAACCATCTCCGCATTCTGTTTCTCTGCACCCCACATGCTGTGGAGAAAAAGGGGGGAGGGAGGACAAAACAAGAGGCAGTTATAAGCTGCTCCCCCATCCACAGGTTAGCCTAGCACAGCCAGACTGGTCACACAAAGACTTAGCACTAATGGCTAAACTGCTACAACATAAATGTGCCTGATGGGGCTCAGGCCAGGTTAGCTCTGAAGACACTGAAATCATTTGGAAACATTTCAACTTATACAGATGTGAGACTTTTACTGAAGACAGCTCCCACCGACCTGTAATGTGCTAACGGAGAGTAGACAAAATACTGTGAACACCTCAATGGCAAGGACTTAATCTCTGAAGTAACTTAATCACAAAAGCACAGATACAAGTCAGTCACATTAGCAATTATCAGAATTTCAGAAAGTTGTTTTAAAAGCAACCTGAGACGTCTAAACTGCAAACAAATCTCTTAAAAAACTGTCAAAGGAAACTCTCACAGATCATGAAGACATTTAACAGAAAATGTGCATTGATATAACGCAGTAAAGGAACCGTGGTCACAAATAAAGCTGTCAAATGCTGCTTAAATGACATCATTACTAACAAAAGTTTACATCATTTTTCATGTTTATTTCTGTTTATTATTTCATCTATTCCGTGTAGGTTATGGGCTGGTAAGATAAGATAAGAGAAGAGAAGATTGGTCGTTTCTATATCGTTATTCTTAAGCTTCTATTGTCTCTTAAAGACAAGAGAAGCTGTGCAGACTGACTCCAGTTTCATGTAAACAGATAATCAACAAAAAAAGCTGAGTCTTGAGGTGGAATTCAAAGCACTTCAAAAATCTTAACCATAGTGACTTCAGTTGTTGGATCCCCGCAGGCTAAACTGGGTGTTTATGGCCCTGCACAGCCACAGGTGGTTTCAGTTCTTATGAATCTTAAAAACACATCTAAAAACTCTCACTCTGCCTGTTTTATCAAGGATGCTTTGACAACTAACTTGGGATAGTATCCCAGCATGCATTCTGCATCAACTAGAGGTGACGACGTAGAGTTTGTGCCAGGCTCACATCTGTTGTTGTGATGAAGTTTTAACAAGGTTCACCATTAAGATTTCTAATATGTGATCAATTTATCAAAATTATGACTATTTGATTACATTTTCCATCATCACTCGAAGGAGAACAATCTTTTCTCAGAGAGCCCTTCAGTAATTTACTCTGGCTCTGATGTCTCCATACTGTTTCCAATGTTAAACGTAGATCTCAGAGTCTATATATCCAATATTTGTTAATGCCAACTTGGTTCTTCTGAAGGTTCACGTCATTCTATCATTATTTTTCATCATTTTAACATTGTGAAATATTGCCCTGCATCCTGAAGTTCGGAGGAGAGAACTAACCAGCCAAAACTACTGAAAACACCTGTGTGGGTGGGCCAAAGGAGCAGTAGTGTTCCCAGACTCTGAGTGGCAGGGGGGCGAAAAACTAAAAGGGACACGTATATCACAAGTAGGGGTTAGGCTTCATTTAGCTTTAAGGTAACAGTGGAAGAAGTGCACTTTGGGGGGGGCTCAGATCGACTAGAGGGATGGGAGTGAGTCCTGTAGGGTAAATTTGTTCTGACATCACATCATCTCCATTATTTACTAGCTGGCCAAACGAGAAGAGCGCTGAAGTTAGAACTTTGAGCCGGGCCAGCTTTTACAGTTTCAAACCCTGTGTGCCGGATAACACAGCTAGCAGCTTAGCCTCACTACCAGAAGCTAAATGAGAGTGGGACTCCAGTGGGAGTCGGAGCTGAGTGTGGGGTGGGTGGGGGGTGGGGGGGGGTATCTAGGTCACCACAAAGATGAATCAACCGCAGCTGGGGTGATGCTACAGCTTTGTACGGGAGAGGTGCTTCAAGTGTTTTATGCATTACGGTATACTGAATCAGCTGACATGCGTGACACTTGTAAAAAGTCTACCGGTCGGATGTTTAAGGGGAAGGTCAAAGGTCAGGAAACAGCGAATCCATCTCATTTACGAGTTGCTTAAATGAAGGAAAAGGGAGCTTACACCAAGTTACTGAGCGACGCCAAGCTCAGCTGCTGCGACTGTTGCTGTTGTTGCTGCTGCTGCTGTTGTTGCTGGGAGACTGCTGGTTGCTGTTGCCAGGCAGCCATGTTGCCAGGCACCAGCCCTGGTGGTGTGAACGTCTGGAGCGCTGTGAGATCTGCACTCGTCAGCTGGTACTCTGAGATTAAGGGATGGAGGGGGAGACGCACAGGGAGAAAGAAAGAGAAAGGAGGTGGAGAGGAGGGGTGAGGGGGGGATTGTTTTACATCATACAACTTTTCTGGTGCATCAATATTAATCAGGGCTAATCCATATTAATGGAGACCTTTGAAGTGGAATCATTCCAGAAGCCCTCACACAATGAACAAAGTGAATATTCATAGTGGTTTGTGGCATCACACTGCGAGGTTTTCACGTTTCTCTACATGACGCTCAAGATTTCCCATGACATAATGCAGACTATATCTCTTACTTGGCTTTATGTTTTATCTTTTTCCAATTTTTTAAAGTCTTTCCTGCGCTGATGTAAACAGACAGTTTCCGTGTGAGCTGCTAAAATGTCCCGTCTTGCTGTGAGGGGGGCAGTGGTGCCTTCACTGTCTTACCGGTGTTGTAGGCCGTCTGCATGCCGGAGAAGGGCGCTAGGAGACTGGGTGTTGCCACGGAGACCACTGGTGTGGTGAGCGACTGGGAGCCACCTAGCCGCTGAGCATTCTGGGAAGACAGAAAGATGGATGGAGGAAGTTAAGAGACTGGAGGCAGAAGAGGGGATTACTGCTACAGTGCTTCTAAAAATGGGGGTCTGGGGGTCCTTCAGGGGGCCAGATGGTGGTTCTACGGGATCTCCAGCTAAGTGAAGAGTAGTCTGATTTCTTAAAAATGTTATCTATAAAAACTTAATGTAATGATGAATAAAACTCTTAATCTGCATCTCCTCTGCATACAGTGTAGATAATTCCAGCAAAAACTCTTGTTTAGCAGTCTTCCAATGGAAGTCTGGCACCGGTGTGCTTGTATCTGAACATTTTGGTGTCAAAACTTTAAGGCATTGTGGTTTTACATATACCAAGAGTCATGTCAGAGATGCTTAAACATCAGCCTAAGATTTACAACCAAACACTTTCTTTCTCGGATCGGTTCCACAACGAATCGTGCCTTTTTCTCCTTATATGGGCTGAGTGTAGGAGTTCACGGCACATGACTTCATCCATTTTCAACAGCAATAATGATAATGGTTAGCATGTGCTTTCCACTGTACAGCAGAGTGGATGCAGAGACCTTGTAATGTGACTGAGAACAATTTAATTACACTGTTACTACTGAAATATTTCACTATAAACACAGCTTGTTCTACTTCTAGTTGAACTAAAAAACAAATGCATTATCCTGTGATTTATTTGTACTCTGTGCTTTACGAAGCTGAAGTGCAGCAACTCTAATTAACTTTCAATCCTCAGTTTCATTGGCAGACTAAATAAAGAAAAAAATTCTAAAACAAATCCAAACAGAGCACTAATAACTAAAGTCTGACATAATAAAGAGTTACATGACTGTGCAGGGCAGTGGAAGATGTTTTATTCATCGTGCCACAGACAGAAGCGTTTCTGCTCCCTGTGAGGAAATCCAAGGCCCTCAGTTCTCTCTGAGGCGTCTAACTTTTTCGGTGACAATTTAACATCTCCGTGGAAGATGAGAAGTGTCTCGCATCTCGAGGTGGCGTTGGCACGGCAACGCTGTCGCCAGGGCCGGGCCGCCCGTGTTATGTAGCGTCACGGTGGAAGGTGTTATGAGAGGCATCGCTGTGCTGGAGAATCATGCTGACAGGAACGCATGCATCGACAAGGCTGACAGAGGAGAGATGAACGGGGATGTAAGAATGTGTTTGTGTTGAAAAAGGATGTGTGTAAATGTGTGCGGGGAGGTATGCGAAGAATTAAAACACAACGTGAGGTGTGTGTGTGTGTGTCTATATTTAGGTAGAGAAATATGCATGAACACATGTTAGCATGCATGTGCGTGTAGGACTGAAGGGGTCAGCGAGTCGGACTCCAACATGTCCGTCTGTGTTCCAGGTGGGAGACTTTGTGATCTTTCTTCACTCTGATCCTCAGAGCATCGACACTCAGATGAAACCAAACATGCACATGCTGAGCAGCTTTCACACAGAGCGGAGAGTCAGCTGGTTGCTCCGGTTCCCTCAATACTCCCTCTATAGACTGTTTGTACAGAGCAAATGTCACTTTAAGCTTTACTGTACCATCACATTTAGCACAATATAAGCACACACGTTTTAGTTTTGCTGCTTTGCTTTTTATAAAAGTAATTTCTGAAATGTTTTATGTCACAAATTGCAACATTTTTATGTATATTTTGCTTCTTAAACAAGAAACTGGATGTTTGGGTCAGGATTATTATTTTTTGCTGATGTTGGGGGGTAAAAATAGGTACATTGTTTAAATTCAGTATACTCCAGTCTAACGGTAAGTTTGCAAAAGGAAACAATTTATCTGCCTACAGCACAAAGTCAGCACTGATTTGTACTATTATACAAATAAAACTACTGGAATTTAGATATAAAAACCAGCAGATTCAAATAAATACATATTGTTACATAAAAATGGAATATTGGCTAAACACAACATAAGTCATAGGTCTGGCTCTTCCGTTCATTCGCACTCATTACCACTCATGTATAAAATGTATTTCTGGTAAGAGCTGTTTTAAAGTTCCCCTCCACTGAAAAATCTGTTTCCCTACTTGTTCCTGCAGTTGGATGTTTGAGCTTCTCTGTGCAGAATGATCTCTGTGCAGAGTTTGACACTAGAAGGATGTTTTCACATTCATCTGCTGAAAGTGGAAAGTTTCTCTGAGCTCATTGAAAATCTGATTTTGATTATTTGTGACATCACAAATCATTTGGAAATCAATCCTGGTCCAGAATGCAACTTATGAGAATGGAAGTGAAGTAGGAGACATCTTGTGCCCAGCAGGAAAACTTTAAAACGTTATAGATTCTGTCATTTTTAATGAGGTAGAAAGAGAAGATGACTTTTTATGAGGAAATTATACTTTTTCTGCATCAGACAGACATTATCGCTCCAAGCAGACTAATGTATATACTGTATGTCTTAATACATGTCTGGAGGGAATCTGTAAGTAATTACATTTTGGGAAATGTGCTAATGTGCTTTCTTGCCAAGAGTTATATGAGAAGATCGATATCACTCATGTCTGTATGCTAAGTATGAAGCTTAGCCAAGAAACAGTTTGGCACCTAACCCGCCGTAAAAAGGCAAACTGTGGTTTTAACACTTGCACAGATTAAACAAACGAGACACAAAGTGTTAATTAGTGAGCTTTAGAGGTATTTTTAGGCAGATTTTGTTTCCGTCAGACGGAGCAAGGCTAGCTGTTCTCTCCTGTTTCCCGTCTCCATGCTACGCTTAGTTAGCCGGCTGCTGGTGGTAGCTTTATATTTACAGAGTGGAGTTTCTGTCTATCTGAGTTCTCATGTTTGTGACTTGACTCCGTGGGAAACCTAATAGAGCCCAGCCTGAAGTGAAGGCTGAGATGTTCGAGGAAGCAGTGCAACCAGCTGATCTGTCCACTGTGCGTCTGTTGCTCTGATGCTCTGAGTTCACCGGGTGCTCTGACGCTCTAACTGCTCTTCTTCTACTCTCGTCATTGCACCGGTGCCACTGAGTCAACCCCGATGGGATGCGTTTGCTGACGGTGTCACACTCATGCTCGGTGAGATCACACAGAGTTCGACACCACATCCACGAGGCTAGAAGTCTAGAAGTCTATTCACCTCACTCACCAACTCCAGCTCTTCCTCTGTCTGCACGGCGGGCGGAGGAGGAGGAGGGGGTAGAAAACAGAGGACGGTTACGTTTCTACAACAACTAACTGCAGTAAAATATGAACATATGAACTTAATCTCAAGTGTAGTCAGGACGCATTATAACAACTACCTACAGGGATACTTTTACATGTGTTCGACTGAAAGCAGGGCCTCTAGTCTTTAAGCAGTGTTGCAGAGTCGAGTCTGAAGTTGAACTTCTCAACCACAAACTGATCGATGGCTGACTGAAGGAGACCTCTGGATCCAGATGTTGAAATGCACAACAGGAAGGATGAATATTCACAACATCTAGATGTGTTTCTTAAAACATCTCCAAGAAGTCTGTCTTGGATTTTGTCTATGGTTGGTGGACTTTTAACTCAACATCCTTTTGTTTGAAAATGCTGTTGAAATCTAAGGAAGGAAACTATTGGAGAAAGATTTAGAGACACTGGAGAAAATGCTCATCTTTCATTCTTAAACATGAGCTCATTATATTCATTACTTCTAATGACCATTAGGTTGGATGAGTCGAGCCAAAAATAGGGAAACTAATGTAAATTCGACATGCAGTTTCTGACAATAAACAGCTTCTATGAGGCCCATTATCCTCACACAAAAACATTCACCAAACCCTACCTGCACAAACTCGTCTAACTTGCTCGTTTCAATGTGATGAATGCCAGCTGTTAATTAATAGGTGTGCTTTTGTGACATTTCATTTTTAGCGCAATCAACGCCCTTAAACTGCCACATAAGGTGAGCAGTTGTGGGCTCATTTTGTGGGAAAGTTTAATAAAAAAAAACGTACATGTTCTACATTAGACTCGGAATCATGTCAGTTGTTTCCAGCTTAGCAGTGTCAGTCTACCCAAAACGATTCGAAAATATTACTACAGCTGTCAACACTGTCATCACAATACTGTGACAGAAATAAAGAGGGAATGGCTTGGCATGAAGTTGGACACCAAAACCCATCTTGCAAAAGCAAAGATAGAAGCGAGGCTAAAATGGGAGGCGGCCAAAGGGACGAGACAGTAATGGGAAATAGATTCCATGATGTTGCACTGTCGGGTGCAACAGAGGATGTTCCCCTTGAAAACCACCTGCAAGACCCTGAGGCTGAGAATGATCAAACTACACAACGACTGAACTGTTTAAATAAAGCTGAATTTGGACCTCAAATTCGGTCAGATTGAGGCATTCAAATTCTCATGTCAAACAAGTGTTTCTCCCTGTGGAGAGATGTTCTTATTGGAGGTCTTACTTCACAACAAACCAAAACCAACAAGTCAATAATCATTTTCTTTGTTTTTTGTAATGATATTATAATTTACCTCAACTATTAATATGACTATCTGTACATTAGTGTAGTACAACAGGCCCGTAAAAATTCTACATATGAGACAATTCCCTTTAAAGCCACTCAAACATTTAAAAAGATCTCTTCGTATGAACGGTTCTTGCATGAGGCCCATTGTATTAATAGACAATGACAAGTCACCCTTACCATTACAGATTATTGGCTCTAGCCATAACTATCTATTACAGGCCGTGGTTTATAAAGAAGCTACCTGAATAGTTTGCCAGAAACGACCAAACCTTGATCCATTTTGAGCTAAAGTACGATTCATCAGCTCTGACTACATGTTTTGCCCCGTCCCATGTGAGTCTGGACTCATCATTTGTCCCTGTGTGGCTGCCATAGTTCCCCTCACCAGCTGCATGAGGCTCTTGCCGCTCTGCGAGGTGATGACCCTCAGGTCCGGCTTGCGGCTGTTGACCATCTGAGGGCTGGGCGGAGGCGGAGACTTAGCCGGGACTACTTTCCCCAGGCTGTTGCCGTTGGATACGGAGAGGAGGCCCGGGGAGGCCCTGGCACTGATGTAGCCATTAGCTGTAGAGACACAGAAAGAGAGAGGGAGAGATTTAGTGAAGAGGGAGGGATGGAGGAGGTTGTGTGTTTGTCTGTTTTGATGTTTTCAGTATCTGGATCTACCTGTGAACTCTGTCTGTGCTTGTCTGTCTGAGTGTGTATATTCAGCTCTTGTGCGTGTGTGTGTGTGTGTGTGTGTGTGTTGATGTCTGCCCGTGTGTTCTCATTAGCGAGTTGGATCACTCCGTCGCACCACATGCTCCTCATTGTTTCTGCAGCTCAAACAGTGTTTTTTTGGCGGCACTCTGATTTTTCTGCAGCTCCTCCACATCAAAACCATGTCACTCTCCTACAGAACTATTTCATTTCCACTCTCTCTCGACGTCTCTCCTCTTTTGTTTCAGTCGTTACGGCGCTCGGTGAAAAACACACACAAATGTCTCTGGACTCTTTCCATCTTACACTGCAAAAAATATCATCCATGACTTGTTTTCTTATTTCACTGTGCTTCCAATACATCCCAATTATTAGTGCTGTCTCTGTATTGTGGAGTGCATCTCCCATGTGGACCTGAGTAACTGCATGTTATTATAAGCTGTGAGATTAGCTTTTGTCAAACATTTTCCCTGATGAAACTTTAAAGGCTTCTTGAAGAAATACCTGAATTGAACCTACGTCTGCAGAGCCTCTTATTCGAGATTGGATGTTTCTGGCATTCTTGCTGCACTGTGTTTAAATTTAAAAATTAAATTTACCAGAAATGAATGCTGATATTTTGAAACAAGACACAATAGGGAAGAAAAATTACACTTGTTTCTTCAGGAATTCTTGAAACTGTAAATAATTTTAATATTTTTTCCAAGACCAAAACCAACAATGTGTTCTTCTGTCTCTCAATACTGTGTCTCTTTCCTACCCTGTCTGTGGCTCTCAGCCCTAATCCAAATGGTTTCTACTGAACACATACATCTTTAAAAACAGCTCAGAAATATATAATAACATTTCTTAAAAGGCTCAGTAATGTCCTGGAACAGCTGCTCACCGTAGTTTTCATCAAACGTTACTCAAATAGAAGGAAATAGTGCATTTGTTGGGGACTATTTTCACCGGCGGATTAATCCACATTTGGTGCTTTAGTAAGTGTTTGGTGCAGCAGGACAGTGAATGTGGGATTGAGACAGAATAAACTACAGCGTGTTTGTTCATGGTAGAGAAAGAACATGTCACCCAATGCAACAGTGTGGCTCATTGATGTGTTGTGTGTGTGTGTAGCTCTTTGGTACGCACACAATACTTGTTAGTAGGATACAGTCATTGTTGGTTTTGGTCTTTTCATGGGATTTGTAAAGAATATCATCAGACTTATCCTTTAATAATAGTTTTTAAAAAAATACTTTTTTTTGCAGTGTACAGTACTCTTGCTTTTCTGTTTCTTTCTCACGGGCGCATTCCAGCAACATGACAAAACGTCACGACTGTTGAACGCGCCCTCTTCTTAAACTGGTCACATTCCAAACTGCTGCTTTGCAACGCAACAGATTCTCTGAAAGCTGCGGAGCTGCACCTGTGTGTGTGTGTGTGTGTGTGTGTGTGTGTGTGTGTGCATACTTTAACGGTGCTTTTAAGTAATATTACGCAAAACTGTTAGTTTAGTTGTTAGTTTCTTTTTCATATTGATATCTTGTATACTTTTAAACACTAGATGTACTTCTGTATCATAGGTTTTAATTTTTCAGTGTATTGTTACTGATTTCTCAATTAAGCAGTTGGGGGTCCTGGGGGGGTCTGGGTGTCATGACAACAAGACTCCAGCAGACAGCAGCCTGTTCATGCTGCTGAGGTTAAAAGTAGAGCTCGACTCAAATAGTCACAGTCAGACACTGTGTGTATAAAAGGGGGACAGCAGGGACTTTCCCAGCCCTAACACACACACACACACACACACACACACACACACACACACACACACACACACACACACACACACACACACACACACACACACACACACACACACACACACACACACACACAGTATTCCCTTCGGACAGGCAGAGTCAGGGCGTGTGTGTGATAGCAGATAGCAGTTCGCCATGACGCCGCCTCCAGACGACAGCGGCATGTGACTCTGCTTCATCTCAGTCACACACACTCCAGGGAGGCACACGCACACACACGCACACACACACACACACACACACACACACACAACCCATGAGCTAAACCTGACAACAACAACAACAAATGAACACTACCTCTCTAACCGCTCAGTGGGAGGGAGAGAGGGAAGAAAGGCGGCAAGGAGAAAAAACAGTTACAGCGAAAAGAGGGGTGATGGAGGTAGCGGGAGAGAGAGGATGTGGGGGTGTGGCAATGGAGGGGAAAGAAGGGAAGATAAAGATGTAGAAAGGAAAGAGAAGAGAGTGGAGGAGCTCTGCTGAGGAAAGTTCAAGGGAAGGAAGGGTAAAGGGAGGTAGAAAACGGGAGACATGTAGAAAGAGAGAGAGAAAGGTAGGAGGTGGTGAATAACAAAAGGCAGGAATGATGTAGGGAAGGAAGCAGGGAGAGGTGAAGTAGGAGGAAAGAAAAAAGGAGGCAGATAATGAGTTGTGGCTGGAAAGAGGTAGAAAGAGAAGAAAAGAGGTATGACGGAGCTGTCGGATAAGGGAAAGAGAGAAAGGAGGTAGGGGAGGAAAGAGGAGGGAAAGATGGTAGGAAGAAATGAGGTAGAGAATGAAGAGGAGGTATGGAAGGAAGAAAAGGGAGTGAAGTACAGAAGAAGGAAAGACAAGGACAGAGGGGAAAGGAGGAAAGGACGTAGGGATGGAGAGGGGAAGTAAGAAAGGAGGCAAGAAATTAGGTAAAAAAGAAGGAGGGAAGAGGCTAGGAAGGAAGCAAGGAGGTAGGGATTGAGAGAGAATGTACAGAGAAAGTGAAATAGTCCTCAGCAGGCATCTGACCAAAGAGATCACCTGTGTCCTGTTGACGCACAGTGGACCCTCCCTGCACCCGGTGTTTCTGGGAAATCCTATGACCCCCTCTGTGTTTGTGTGTGTGTGTGTGTGTGTGTGTGTGTGTGTGTGTGTGTGTGTGTAATAAGCACATTTGTGCGTCACTGACTGATGGGAATCTGTTGCTGGTTGCGTCGTGTTCATGTTTGTGGGTAAAGGAGGAGGGTGGCGGCTCTATGGTGACCCTGAGTTATGAAAGTTATACACACACACACACACACACACACACACACACACACACACACACACACACACACACACACACACACACACACACACACACACACACACACACACACACACACAGCGTGAAAGGGAGTTAGAGTGTGTGAGTGTGCGACTGAAATGTGTGTTTTTGCAGGTGTCCTCAAGCCAACACCAAATCCCCATACAGACACAGCCCGGGTACTGGGCCTGTGTGTGTGTATGTGTGTGTGTGTGTTTACACTATACTGTACTACTGATAGTTTTACTGGCAGATTTTTTCCTGCATTTTTGTGTGTTTCTATGTTCCCTACAGTCATTTTAACTAGACCCCAGATGCATTCCTGTTTGAAAGTAAGTGAGCAGATTTAGGGGTGCAACTATAAATTGTGGAAAAACATATTGTGACATGAAAATGTGACAGACATGGAGCAAAATATCGTTGCCTAAAAGTGCTGACAGGCATAAAAAGAAGGGCCGGTGCACCAAAATTACAAGAAACCCACTTTCAGTTACCTTGAGTTGTATCTAACAATGTAGATGGTGTTATCTGCTGAGGTTTCTGCCTTCAAATACAATGGAAGTAAATTGATTTTAAATTTGAAAAACAACAACTTATCTGTGCTCACTGTGAACAATTTTCCCTGGAAAACCTTCCTACAGTACAAATAGTCCCTACAATAAACGCTGACAGTAAGTTCTGGGAATTATCTGGAGAAGCTGTTTTTCAGATGTGAGTCTTCATGCTGTGAATACCACAACCACAATCCTGTTTACCTCCAAGTGTGTTGACGTGTGACGACATTATATGAGTGACAAAAATATTGTTTATTCCAGTTATTCCTGGAACAATATATTGCATAATCAAAGAAGTTATCTCGACAGGCCTAATCTCAGAGACAAAATACCTCATATATACGTAATAAAACCATAAGTATCTGCATGGATGGATGCCACTAGTGTGTTTTTTCTGTTGTTGGCTGAACTGACCCTTTAAAAAGAAGGTTCAACCTCAGATATTAAAGACCTTTTTTATTGTAGTATTTGTATTTTACAGTAAAACTAAAAGAATAAGAAGTATTTAACTAAACTTCTAAAAGTAAGAATGGTGAAACTCTGTTTGCACATGTTATGCCTAAAGAGAATTAAAGAAAGTTTGTTTTTGTTGTTTTTTTGTTTATTAAGCTGTGGACCCTGTATTTTGTATCTTGTTGAACTGTGAGATGGCTGTATCATAATACTGTGTGTGTGTGTGTGTGAGTGTGTGTGTGTGTGTGTGTGTGTGTGTGTGTGTGTGTGTGTGTGTGTGTGTGTGTGTTGTGTGTGTGAGTCTGTTGAAGCTTGAATAAATACACTCCTATTCTGAGAGTGTGAGTCACAGAAACATGTTGATGTGTCTGTGGCTTTATCTATGTATGTCCACTGTTTTGTATGTACTTTTCGTTTATACCCTTTACATGTGCGTGAGTGTGTGTGTGTGTGTGTGTGTGTGTGTGTGTGTGTGTGTGTGTGTGAGTGAGAGAGATGTCTCCTATTACGCGAGGCCGGGCGTGGGAATGTGTGGAATGCCGGGTGACGTCAATGGTGACATTCCCGAGCCCCGAGTCCCTGGACAACAGCTGAGAACCTCAAATCCAAGAGAGGAGAACAGGGAGAAAAGAGAGGGGGAGAAGGGAGGAGATAGAGCGGAAGAGTGAAAAAGAGGTGAAGGGAGGGCAGAAGAGAAAAGCAGAAGATGAGAGAAAAAGGTTGAGAAAGAAGGGAAGTGGAAGAGATGAGGGACAGAGAGGAAGAAGAAGTGGGAAGGAGAAGAAAGGAAGGGATGAAAGGAGATAGCTAGAAAAGTGGGACGAACAGCAAAGAGGAGGAAGAATTATGGATCTGAAACTTGAGTGAAAGGAAAAATAGAAAGAAGAGGGGAGTTAGAGTAACGAAGAAAGGTTAGGTGAGAAGGAAAGGAACTGGTAGAAAACGAGAAAGGAAGAGGCAGAGGGAGTGGAGGGAGGAGGGGAGCAGGCTGTCGGGTGGATCGGGTCACCTGAGCTGCGTTCTGGGATGAAGAGGTTTCATGTTTCGACGCACGAAGGAGTCGTGACTTTGTTACAGCGAGTTGCAGGTGATAGTGACAGAAACGCTCAACCACAGCACGAAAAACCACGACAGCAGGGCCAAAGACCCCGCTGCTGACAGAGGATGGAGCAGAATATTAGGTATCAGATAATATTATAATTATATTATAAATATTATAATAACGGATTTGTCAGAGTGGATCTACAGATATATACTGAGATGGAACAAGTCACAAGACATCCCAATACAACACAATGTTTCCAAAAAGTTTGTTTCGACCGATGTGTGGATAGTCCGCAAGTTCACTAGCAACTAACATCATCACTTTTTTTCCACACCTCGGTTCTTTACAGATGTGATATTCAGGAGTTATGGGATTATTCCAGTGCAAAACTTCACAGTAAACTACCGTAACACTTTAAAAGCAGCGTCCCAGTTAGACACAGGTCTCCTTTGCTAGCCTGGTGTGGCTACTGACAACTAAACGTAGATCTCAATCAGAGGCCCGGTCTGGATTTTATAGAACTTCTTTGGATGCATAAAACCAGTCAGGTCGCCTGCTTGAGCGATTTCTAAGCTGCTTAGATCGCCTACACAAATATGAACATTTAAACTTCGACTTTGTCGATATGGATGATCATTAGATCGGTTAGATTCTCCACAATTCAAACGCTCAGTTCATTTTACGGAAACCACGAGCCCCAAAGTATCGAATGACTTGTGATTAATGTTATTCAGTAGCCTTATTTTATACAAGTAATATTCATACTGGTTTAAATTAATAATCTGATAGTATTTCCCATCTTTGCTGTGCAGAGTTTTATGCAAAAGGAATTGAAGGCCTGTCCCAAGGCAGGTTGAGTTCAGTGACTGAAACAAATAAAAGCCCGGGCTATCAATGGACGGTTTACGGTTCAAATTTTTTAAATCCACAAGAATAAATACCTGAACTGATATTTGTTGAATGGCTGCATTTGTTGGGAACATCTACTTGTTGAACACCTGCTGAGGACCTGCAGCAATGTGCCGGTTTAACCTATCAACTAATGCTGAGAGTACCAACTCAAAAGATTCATGATAAGGTTAGGAAACACTGACTCATTAATTAACTGCAGTCATGAATACAACCATTCACTTGCCAAAACGTCGTTAAAGTTTGATTTTAACGGTCTCAACCACAAACACGTCATTGATGCATTTTTCCAATCGTAGACAAGATCAACACAGAAAGCTGGACCACTACCAAGCAACTCTAACAAAACAAATAAACTCTATATTTACTCTTGTATTTATACTTGATTGTGAGGGATATCATGTTCCAAAAGTAGTTTGATGTTGCGATATCTGCACTTCCTCTTTTTGATGAATTATGTGAACACTTGTGCATTGATCGAGGACAACTTTTAAGAACGCTGTTTCATAGAACGTATGTACTCTTTCATCAATAGCCTTCAAACACTAATATCAATATTGAAACTTGGCATATTCCTCTGATACAGTGCATGGAAGTTAATATAAATGTATTGATTTCTTTTGGCCTACCTTACCCCTGAGACAATATGTTTATCAAGTGAATATAGAAAGAAGAAAAAAAAAAAAACACCTTCCCACCATATCTATTACTACGGGCTGGCTGGCAGTATCTGTCCCGGCTAATGGGATTTAAGGGGAGAGCTCTGGCCAGTGTCAAAGTCACCTCTGAGGAGAGTCCTGTGCCAAGACAAGGGACAGTTGGATGAGGGGTGGGGGTGGGGCGGTAGATAATTCCAGAGAGAAGACGAGGGGGAACAGCTGAGAGAGACAGGATGAAAGGGGGAGGGAGAGGGTGTAGATGGAGAGATGAGGGGGGAGGAGCAGTGGGTGAAGACAGGAAAGCTGAGGAGCGTTGAGCAGACTGCTGTCAGGATCCCAGGCGGTTTCAGCGTTAGAGTAAAACTCTCACATTACTGACTCTAATATTTGGCTTCTGGCACTACATCAACCTAAATCAGCTGGTTTCCAGTTCAAGGTGTGACTGTTAAAAGTTTCCAGCCTGCCTGGTTTCAAACCTCTGAATCACCACCCACATCTGTGGTTTCTTCATCGACTTCAATAGGTCCAGTGTTGTGCTCGCTGATGGCTGTTTCCCCTGGTTGGAGAAACAATCAACCGAGAACGGGGACGTCATCTTCCTACATAGACTGGTAGCTACATCCTTGAAAAATGGCAACAAAGATGGGAACAGCTGTACAGGTTGTCCATTTACAGACATAACAACTCTTATATTTCTTTTTTTGTTGTGAAAAATGTTAAAGGCCCAGAAGCGAAGCGATGACTTCCAACTTTTTGCAGTACTGGTTATTTCATGTCAGAGATTTCTGTGTTTTTGTTTTTCTTTGTGCTCTTCTGAAACCAGGTTTCAGATAACTGCTCCTACCAACCACTACTGCAGTACTGGTGTTGACTGAAGAAAGCACTGGGACTGATCCGTCACTCGCTACTGATTGGTTAGGGCAAAACTAAACCAAATAACCCCCTTCCAAAGCCCCCTTCCAATCAACGTGAACATGGAGTCAGCTGTTTGACTGCTGAAATCTGCTCCATTTTTCTCCAGTCTATTTTTCTTTTTCTTTATCTAGTCCCAATTAATGTTTGTCCACAGCGAGGTCTGCAAACATTTGGACAACACAACAATACTGGATGCTTTTCAACGTGTAGAGCAGAACAAATGAAATTCCAGAATAAAAAATGAATTTCTTAAAATCTCAGCACATTAAACCCAAACTGCATGGCTGCATACCAATACGAGTAAATAGGAAGATGTGTTTCTGTATGAGTGCGATTCGGTGGTTCCAACTTGCAGAACTTGTTTAGATTATAGAACTATAACAGAATACAGGAATGAAGTAGTGCTTTAGCAGTCATCTTAGATTCATATTAAAAATATTGGTTATTGAGTGCCACAAGAGTAAAGTCATTTTGACATTATAATTGGAGCCGAAAAGAAAATCGATGACAAATGCTTTAATCAGTCAAGCAAGTCTGGAACTGGGTTTTATGGGTTGGCAATACTGGTGACAGGAACGCAATGTTGAGCTCACATTCAGGCATTTGTACCAGCTGGCACACCGGACTAGGTCAGTAATATTTCCAAATTTTTATTCAACTTAGTTCTGGTTTCCAGGACACATTCATGAAAACAACCCCAAACACAAAAGCAGCTGAGGAGGTTCTTCTGTACTTTTCTATCACTTTCTGTTCCTCTTTTTCGAACCTCTCTCCTCCTCGTTTCTCTCGTACAACCTGAAACCCATTCTGTTCTTTGGACTGTTTACAAGCAGCTTGTGCTGTGACCTTCAGCTGTCGCCAGTCAACAGGTGTTTTCGTGCTTTGTGTGTGTGTGTGTGTGTGTGTGTGACTGTGTTTGAGTTGTAGCACACGTGACTGCCTGTTGCCACACATAAAATATTCTGCGTCGCTCTGCCTGTAAGTCAGACTCAAAAATCATTTCCCTTTTAAAGCTTCCAGTTAAAATACAGAAAGCAGAATGGGGCAGGGTGGATGACATATTAGTGTGTGTGTGTGTGTGTGTGTGTGTGTGTGTGTGTGTGTGCCAGTACAAACTCAACTGTTCTAAAAAGCGTAGCGAATAAAGATACTACTTACGGACTGGACTCGGGCACGCTCCGTTTGAATTCCCCAGATCTCCTCCTAACAGAGCACCTGGGACACAAGAACACACCACGACCATTAAATACAACACCGCTGAGATTATTTCATATTAAACAGTTAATCTGAACAGCACTAATCTAAAAGGCTGCATGTCCCATTCTGAAAAATATCATTAAATCAAGTATGTCATTAAAAAAGCGCTTCTGCTCTCGACACTCACTTCACTCGATGAAGGACCATAATTGGTTTCAATTCTGCATTTCTAGCTAATTTCTGAGTGGCAGTTTCATCCGTTCTGAATGGTACTTGTTTCATATTTGGTGACTCATTTTAAATAGTGAAAAAAAATAAAGATTAGGTTGCCACTTAATGTTATTAAGATACAAATACAAAAGATATTAAAAAAATACAAGATTGTTGAAAATGCATGATCATTATTGGAAGTCTTTTTAAGATCATCGAGATTAAATAATGTCACAGAATTCCCTCTATAATCAGGATTCCCACACATCCTGCAAAACTAAATTCTCATATCTCCCGGCACACAGCTCATTAATGATCACATTTCTTGTTGCTGTGATAAATACATGCACAGTGAGGGTAACTGTATGTTTAATGAACTTTAATCTTCTGTAAAATAATATAAGTTCTACTCAATTTAAACTGTTACTTATGGGCTGTGGCCAAATCAATGTACTCAGTTTGTCAAAAACTGCAGTTTAAATGACCCTCTGTAAGCAAGTGCTGTCCTAGATTGTCAAGAAAAACTCCTGGAAAGTGATAGTGAAAAGAGTGGGAACCCTGTATAATATATGGTGTGTTCTTTGTCGTGTTGGAATTGGTCTGGGTATCGTTTTAAAGATTTAGGTATCAGTGTCTATAGTAGCTGGAGTTGTGAGTATTGCAGTCTGGAGCAATGTGCTCGCTCTGGGGAACTGCCTTTAACCCACAACGCAGCTAACGTTAGTTACGTTACTTGCTGTGCCGTTGTTCGCACTAGATCGTGGTATTTGTCGTGATTTCTCTAGAATCACATACACCACCTTTAAATGTGTCTCAGAAGGCTCCACGCTTTAATAGAGCGCTCAAAGAATCGGAGCAACGGAGATCCTGCAGGGAAAACCAGTCCCACCCCAACACATTAAAGTACACATTCAAAGAAGGCTGTAAACCTTCACAACGCTAGGGCTTAGGAAGACACTGATACCAAAGTGGTGGAGGGAGCAAACGGCAAATGTCAGCTGGTAGCCAATGCTGCATTAATAAGCTGATGATACTGAGAATGAACGAGACAGCTGATGCTGAGCAGCTGACCTGGGTTCACTGGTCTGCCTGAACTAACACTATTCTTCTATCTTTTTATCATTTCAGTAAAACATAAAAAGGTATGAAGTCTAAAAAGTGTTACACTTTAAAGAGAATGAGATTAAAAAGGATTCCATGCCAACTTTACTTGACATTCTTCAATATTCGATGCTTTGGACACATTTAAATAAAAAAAAAAAATTAATGAACAGCCAGTCCGTTTGCAGCTACGGGTGCAAATTAGCTCATGAGCTAACCCCGCTTCATTTACACTGACGTTCTGTAAAGCTGTACTGATCAATATTTTTATAAAAAGAATGGATCACATGACTTTGTGTGATGTGAAAGGGACTGAATGTGGTGATTTATCACCCGACTCTACAGTTCATCTCAGTTCTATTCAGCTCTTCAGCGTCTTCTAGTTCATTGGCATTTTTCACTTTGGCCCACGACTTTACTGTTTTGGTTCAGTCAGTGTTGTGTTTACAGCTTGTTCCACTGAAAATAAAAATCAATTTACAATGTCAATGTAGATGAATGTGCCCTGCTCCTAAACAACAACAAAAAATATTTCTATGCAGTACAATATGTTTTTATACTTCTTTTATCTTCATTCTAGCAAACATTTTTCTTCCAAACAGCAGACAGCATTTTTCTGCTCTGACACTTATTTTCCCTGTTGCGATACAGATTCAGTTTTTGGCTCAAACGCTCTTCAGAAAGGCAGAAACTCGAGGTCATTAAGGGTGACTGAAAAATATCTGGCTGGACGGACGCATGGAAAAACACCAATAAGCAAACATGATGAACCCAATACATCTCTGGTAATGTGGGATGCATAGCAGGGTACAGCGGAGCATTTGCACGGCTGAGGTTATGAGGAGGAGGAGGAGGGGAGGGAGGGGAGGGGGACGCGTCCATTACTGCTATGTGAAACCCTCTTGCCTCGGAGAACGGCATGTTATGAAAGATGCTGTAATGCATTTGTTGCGCGTTACATCACCTAATTCTGACTTACAATGAGATTACGCTGGTCGGAACAAAGCTTGATAAGTAACCTTGTCTGAGACGCAAAAATGGGGCACAAATCCTTTTAGTCAGAGGGTGAAGGATTGGTTTGCCACACAGAGGCAGCGGGTGTACGCAGGAGTGTACCAGCTTCAGCCAAAGAAATGATGGATTTCTGTCATTATAAGGCGGTGTGCACTCACACAGACTGGACATCAATACACTGACACACACTTACTTGTTTGGTCATTTTGCTGTTTCTCAGCTCAGAAAACTCTCTATAAAACAGTTGTTACATAAACTCGACATGAAGAGGACAGCAAAATAACACCTATTACACGTTATGAAAAAAGGTCTTTAAGTAAACTTCATCACCATGACAACCGTGTCTACAAAGGTGGCTCAAATCATTCCAGCTATGAGACAGTCTGCATGTATGGAAGATGCTAAAAGACAATTATCTAATATGCCAAAGGGAACGGATTTGATAAACATGACCACAAACTGTACATAAAGGAAGCCGAACACAGGAAGACTGTACTCACTGAGCAGACACAACTTTAAACAGGGATATGAGTCACGCATATGAATGTGATATGCTATAATCCTCGTTTGCCAACAGTTAATAACTAGCTGATACTGGCTAGCAGGATTAGTAGCTTAATGTTACTGAGTTCTCTATGGAGGAGATGAGGAAAGGAAATCAACAGAGAAGCCAAATTCAAATTAAAGGCCTAACATTGTCCAGTAACACAATACTCACATGCCCATATGTGAATTAAAAGCATTAGTTGTAATTGTTCCTCCTGTCAATACTGGCCGTAAAGACATCTCAATGTAAGTGATTGGGGACAAACTCTTTGATCTCTCTGCGGCCAGTATGGACTGGAGGAACCCTCAGAGTCACAACACTGCGTTCAATATACATATAGGCATGTGAGCCTTGTTTTAAAAAATGATCCTTTAAACACTGAATTTAAATGGAACTCTGAGTTTCTTCATGTTTTGAATATTGTCTCCATTTTGCTGTTTCTCCACTGCAACAGAACACCTGTCAATCAAACAGTGTGGGTGGCACTCTGAAGTCTTTTTCCTTCAGTCTTCTTTTGTAGAAGTTTGGAGTTTTTGTCTTTTTTCTTCTTCAGTTTGTTTCAAACTGCTGTTGCTGCTTTTGCTCATCAGCTGCTGTGCATCAGGGGATTATTGAAGGAGAGAGCTACCAGATCACTTGGCATTTAAAACAAGAAATGGATAAAGCTGCACTTTATACTGGTCGGATCAATCAGCAGCTGAGAGTATTGAAACTGGACATTCATTTCTATGAAAAGCCCACAAATGATTGATTTACGTGACCTCCGGCATGCTGCGGAGCTGCACAGAAACAGTTTTAACCAAAGCAGTCCAGCTGTGTTTCACCCCGTCTCTTACCTGCGCTCGCAGGTCGCTGTGGTAACCCTGGCGACACGGTGTTCCTCTGCAGAGCTGGTTGCTGTGGCGACAGGAGGCGGGGGTCTGTGAGGGTGGAGGTGACAAAGGAGGTGGTGGTGACCAGGGCGCCGCCGGGGTTGTTACTGAACTGGAGGGCTGCCGCCGCTGCTGCGTTCTGATTGGATACTGGCACGGTGACTGGCATGGAGAAGGTGGGCTGTGGGACTGTAGACTGGTGGAGAGACAGGAAGAAGGCGGGGCTCAGATGTGTGCCTCCCCACACGCACATACATCATGTATACAGTAATGGACAGGCGATCAGTTAGTGATCTGCAGCAGCGCAAACGAGCCCGCAGGTGAGAGAAACACACAGTCACACCAACAAGAAGAGTCTTTCCAAAACAGATGAGACTTTATATCATTATATAAGACACCACCTGTCCAACTCCAATGTTCTAATATCATATCCTGTGTTACAACTGCAAAAATAGTAGTTAAAAAGGGAAAAATATGATTAGCACTGCCAAAATCTCCATCCTATCTGGTTAATTTAGTCTCTTAATGTGTCTCATTTTCTTAAAATAAGTGAATATTAAGGATTAAAATAAGTGAAGAAATGAATAGTAATTTCTAGAAAACAAATGTTTTTATTTGTTGGAAATACTGAGTCCAAAATGACTGTTAAAGGCAATTTCTCAGTTTTTTCAGTTATCATTATCAGGATGATATCGTGATATCGCCTCATGCCTAGAAGAGACTTTTTCATGCATACACACATTTTAAGTTTAATTAAAATAAGTGAAGAATTGTATTATTTTAAAATCATTTGAAAACACTAACTAACGCTCAATGACATGAAATCACACTCCCTAAATAAAATAGAATGACTTGAGATCAGTTACATCACATCACATCTGTCACCCTTTGTTTTCCTGTCAGGATTCACGATTGTAGCAGGAAATAAATTCAATCAACAAACAATATATAAGTATCATCATTTGTATTCCATTAATTAAACATATGCAAAAACATTGTAAACAATTAAAGTTATAAAGATTTTCTTCAAACTGTAGAAAGAGTGTTTTGGAAATTAACTCTTCAAGCAAACACACATTGAATGTCTCTCTAACACACACACACACACACACACACACACACACACACACACACACACACACACACACACACACACACACACACACACAGATGCTCAGTTTTAGCATGCAAGGTGGCTTGGTGGAGAGGCCAAAAAGCTGTGTCGCCTTTCACATCTCATGCCAGGTTAAAACTCTTGTCGCAGCAGCGGGTTATTGCATCGTGTTATTGGTGACATTTCATGGCGTGCATGTCACATTCCAGCTACATCCCACCACCCCCACTGAAATGTGCTCATCCACCGGGATCATGAGGACAGACCCTACAGTGTGTGAGATGTTGCTGAACATATTAAATCCGTATGCAGGAGTTTGCTTCATAAAAAAACATCTTGAAGCCTAATGCCTCATCTAACACACACGAGGTTCCTCAAGTAGACTACTTACTACTTTTTATTCTTTACTACTTTAATTTACTATTTTTATTTTAAATGGGCTACTTCGTCACCTGAGTTGACTTCCGAAAGTAGATGACCAGACAGTCCAGGGGCAAAGAAATCAAGGGCAAGGACCTCGGGTTGTCCAGCCATCCGACCCATTTCACCCTGTTCCAACTCAATCTGAGAGAAGGACTTCTATATATAGAATATGGGCCAGTGCTGCACTGTACTGTACTCAAACTGCCTGGGACCCAGTTTAACGCAGAGGAGGACGAGGGCACCTTCCTGCCCTCGATCTCTGCCTCTTTTCCCTCTGCAATGTTTTGTAACTTTTTTTTTTTTTTTGAGGGGGAGAGGAGGGGAAAGAGAACAAAAACATGAAAAGATGACTAAAGCTGAAGCGGATGCTATCTTGTCTTTGGTATCGATTTATTTTAAAGGGTGCAAAATGTCTTAACTGTTTAGTAATCATTTCATAGGAGTTTTATTGAAAGAACTACGCAATTTGAATCTAATTATAGGGAAAATAGGGATTTCCTTGAAAGAAAAGCTTAATTTCAACCCAAATACATATTTATTTATTATTGAACACTTCTCCTAGAATAGTATCCACAGTTACATAGAGCCAGAAAACCTTGTGGAAATTATAACAACACTTTTACTGCTGTAAAATGAAGCACTATACCCTATGTTTTATGATATTTTATTGCTGGAATCTATTCTAAAGTCTGTACTTTCAATCAGTTGCCAAAGAAACTCCTGATTCTTCCAGCTTTCTAGGATTCAAAAGAAAATTCACCCATCGGAGTGTTAAGAGGACGTTTGCAAAGGAGAGCGCACAGACAGAGCTGTAGAGTAAGTGGTGACCAGGGCAGGTGAAGATAGCAGCTAACAGCACTGCACCACTGCACACCGGCCAAGCAGAGAGTAAAGGGAGGGGATGGATAAATGGAGGGATGGATGAGGGGGGTGAAGGGTTAGTGCAGAGGGGACGGAGGTGTGTAAACACGGAGCATACAGCACTAGAGAAGATTTATCCTCACGGGGCTGAGGGGGGACGGGGTTTGTCTACAGCCTGACACATTTCACTATTTAGGTCTTTAGTTCTAAACCAGAGTGGCTTACAAACAGGACGGGCCTCAGTGTCTTTGCTGAACACGAGGGAATCGAACCTGTACATTTACGGTTACATTTAAGACTATCTAAGACTTTTTTAAAGACCATTATGAATGCAATGTAAGACCTATTTTATGACCATACATGAATGATATGAAGGAAAATCAGTATTGGTTCCATGTCAGTTTTGTACACATTTTTTCCAAAAACGAATTTATTGCAATTTAAAATGCATCTTTATACAAGTGATGTAAACTTCATTAATCCAATTATGTTAAAATTATATTAAGGACATTTTTATGGCCTAAAATTCAGATTATTGGACTTCTTAAGACCTTGCAGACTGAATGGTTATGTTGTACAAAATTAAAGAATATTTTGAAAGAAATAAAGACTGTACATCCGCAGATATGTTGGTTATTTGAAATTCAGAATGAATAAAGCATCCAGGCGATAGGGCGATAGCTAAGACAGTGAAGTCATGTGGTTTGTAATTTCTCTGAAATTTAAAAGGTTTATAATGAAAGTTTAAATTTTACAATTATACACAGAATTCAAAGTTTGGGTTTTTCTTAGGGCCAATTCCAACATTATTTAAACTAAATGTGTCTGTTTATAGGAAAAAAACTAGGTTGATAAAATATACCTTAATTATTAGCGTCAGATCATAAAGACTGCATTTACAGAAAGTATATTTGAACGATTAAATTAATGATTTTAAATATTTTAATAGTTTGGTTGGGTGTATTTCCTTGGAGGGACTTGGATTTATGACCTCTATTATTTCTATTTCTGGCCCTGTTAGCATCAGTCTAACTGTATCAGGAATCTAATCATTCTCCCTCTTACCAACTCATTTCTGCATAAGTTTGTATTTGTATGTAAATATTCAGCAGTCATCAGCCAGCATAGATGCTTGTTGATTTGAAAGATATTTCCTGCTGGCTAGTTAGTTACGTAAAGCTTTCTCAAGGCTCGCTGTGCTGACAAGTTCTGATTTAGAGACTCTTTATAGAACTGAAACTGCAGCCATACAGTCCTCTTTAGATACCTCTCTTTTCATCGCCAGTCTGTAATGGTCATAACAAGACCTCCATGATGGTGCCAGCTCCTGGTTGCTAGGAGATTGGTGACATAACTACAAAACCTCTTCACTTCTTCTCTAAATATGAATGTTAAACGTGTCCTCCTCACCCTGCTCTGCACTGTGCTCCACTGAGCATTAATCCCTGTTTTTGGCAAATTACAAGTGAATTTACATCTACCCACTCCAACTTCATTTAACACCCGATGCTCCTAATAGCAGACAGGAGGGTTAATTGGGCCCTGCCCGTCATCCTGCAGGTTTAACACAGGCACAGAACCTGTTAGGTAAATAATTGACTGGGAGCTTTCCCAGAGGCTCGTGTGAGGAAGCTGAAGGCCTCTTCTGTGTGGAGAGAACAAAAAGAGGGGAGAGAAAGCTAACCTATTTTCCCTCAGAGGAGCTCGCTCAACAAGGGTGTGTTTCCTGGATGCAAGGGTAAATCAGAATGAATTTAACTCATGGCCTAGTTTCCCTTTTCCTCCCTCTTGTCCTGGAAGCCTTTGAAAGTTTTTTTTTCAAACTTTAGTATTGTCACATCGGATTTGTTAGCAGCTGTGGATCTGAACACAGAGGCAACATTAGAGAAGTGTTTGGGCGACCTTTAGACGTCACAGCAGATGACCAGTAAATTGGGCTTTTGTTGCGTTCCCTCATGTGTCTCCATCACTTTTATTGCCTTCCAACTGTCCCAATATTTGAATATTTGAAAGAAATTGCCTTCTGAGTCTGATTCAAAACTGTTTCATCTGCAGCTCCGAACACAAATGATTAAACGGTGTGAAATTACAAAATGAGCCTCGCAACACATAAATGCAACGCCTTAGAGAATCAGCTCGATAAATTGTAATATACTGAAGGTTGTTAATGTTTCTAGATGAAAACATATTCCTATACGGCTGCTTTATTCTCCTCACAGGAAAGCACTAAGAGTCTATTAAGACAAATGGTCTCTATATTCTACTGAGGTAACTCACATATACTGTATAGGTATAATGATTATGAATTACATTAATAATGATTCATACATTAATCTCTACAAATTAGGGAATTATTTAAGAAGTTAATTTAACCACAGTTTATATAACAGCTGTTGGGTGGTTAAAATGTCATTTTGTCTCTAACAACTTGACCTGCTGTCAATTAGAATGGACATTTTTATATAGCTATTATTTTACCAAACGTCTTAAATTTGAGAGTATTTTCGAGTATTTTAAATGACATTAAATGCAACAGCACAGAAAATGCCAGAATCTATTGATTATTCAATGTGGAAGCCAAAAATCTGATGTGATTAACTGTGCAGCTCAAGCAGCATTTTTAGTTCCATGTTTCACATTCATACCGAGCCTCTACAGGAGACATACAAGACGTTCGGCTCTTTGCTCAAGGGCACCACGGCGCTAGTTGTTAAAGGAAGAAATCTATTTCTTATTTAATTTCCCGGGCACAGAATCTCAGAGCCAGAAACAGATCAAACAAGAGACCCTCCGGTAAAAAAAAACCTCGCCAACCACAGTGCCAGTGTAACAGGAACAGATACGTTTGCTCGGGGCTCGTCTAGCCAAGTGTCCCTCGCCACTTTCTCCCTACCTCAGGAGGTATTTTAGTACAAGTGGGATTAGGCTTGTATATCCCGGCCCCTAGCTGTCATGCTGGGGATTATGATGCTGAGGGGAGGAGTGGTGGGTGGTGATGTATGCTTCCGTTTGCTGGTGCCCTGTGAAAGGTGTGCTGGGCAAACTGGGCAGGCTGAGATGGCTGAAGGGCATTGTGGTGGTGGGGGTGGGGATGCTACCCGCTAGCGGCGTTCGGCTAGCATCCAAATGTTGGCGCCAAGAGCTGTGGCTCTCCAGGGGCGGTAGATTGAATTCTACTCTTCTGTCGTGGCAGATGACAGAGGGGCTCGTTTTCTCTGTTAGGCCTGCTCTGACGAATGTGAGATGACGGCAATTACTAATAGTAGGAAAATAGGAAAAGTCCAGTTTTGTATTATTATTTATTATTTATGTAGTTTTGGTCCTGATTGATTGACAGTTCTATCCGATGGATGTCTTTAATGGGTGTTCTGGGTGGGTTTACCTCAGTTTCACTGAATAATTATATTTTAACACATTAACACTAATGCCCCCTCGCTCAAAGAGGATTAAGGATCCGGTTGTATGCTCTCTGCCATGTATTGTACTTATTATAATGTTCTTTTAAAATGAGAGTCTAATCTATCAATGCATTTATATGTTCACATTTATATATGTTTTATAGAAGTCACTGAAAGTTGTAGTGCTCGTGTCCCGCAGGCAGAAGAGTGGCCGCCAAAGGTTTTTTTACAACCTGTCTGTCTGACTGTTTCTCCAGATTACAACAATTACATAAAAAAAAACGAATTATCAAAAAAGATGACCAGAACTATGAAAATAAGTAGTATTGTTAAAAAAAGTAGTATTTTTTAAAAAAAAAATGTTTCCGTAACACCCCATGTATGATTTAAAGAATAACCGCTGTCCAACTCTCCTCCAGCGCCTCAACATGACTGTGTCCCATCCCAAGTGACCAATCAGAGGAGCAGGCAGACAGGAAGAGGGGCTGTAAATTGAGTGCTACTCATTAAAGTGACATTAATGGCATTATTGAGCACGGAGGAAAAATGAATCACAGTGAAATTGGCACAGGAGTGGAGCGGTAAAAGGGGTTTGGCAGAGTGCCAGTCAGGAGGCAGAACCTGGATAATGTCAGGAGCACATCCAGTCGCAGGAGCAGGACTACACTGGGACCAAAGTGACCTCAGCAATACTGTGAATGACGAGCAGTTAGCAACTGTACCCTGGCTTTCTTTCTGTTACCTGCCTAATGTCAGGAATAAACTCGGCCCTGGTGCGTACAGCGTGTCTGCAATTGCACACTTGTTTCTTTAGTGTTGCTAAGTATTACACAATTGGTACTTTCAGCCAAGCAATCCGACCGCTCAAAGGCATGCTCCAAACGTGTTGATTATTGCCATAAAGCATTTCCCCCTGTGATATCGGTTGCTATGCCAACTTTTGTGAAAACTGGGGACCTAGTTAGCACTCCTCTCCTTCTGTTGTTTATTCTTGTACATTACTGAACTTGCAGAGGCACCAGAAACAGTGTATTAAAGCCATAATACTCCTGAGGATGCTCTTCACTGTGATGACTGTAACTTCAGATGAATAATCACAGTAAAGCATGCCCTATTTGGTGTTATACTGCTTTTTCTAAGGTTTTCCAACTCACACAAAGTTATATCTGCAGCACTGCAAAAAAATGTTCTTTGTCTTTTTCATTAAACAAGATATGAAATCTGTCAGCACAGCTGGAATGTGTCACCAATGTGCATTTCAAAAATAGCGTAGGAATGGTCTTGAAATAAGACAACCTGTGCCATAAAAATCAAAAATTGACTTTTGAAACTTCTTAAAGAAAGGTAATTTATAGTGAAACTGACAAGGGTTTTAATTAAAGCTTAAACGACTAAACTGACTAATCTGCAACTCTTTTGATATTTGTCATTTTTACACATCACTTAGTTCCAGCTTTTAAAATGTGAGGCTGCTCGTATTTGTCCTGTATGATAGTAAACAGAATATCTTTGGGTTTTGGATTGTTGTTTATAAAAGAATTTAATCTTGGGCTCAGATTTTTTTTTTTAATTTCCTGACATTTTATAGACCAAACTATTAACAAATCAAACAAGAAAATAATGCAGGCTAACTGGTTTTTAAAGTTTGCCCTCAGGTCAGTCAGGCCGGCCTCTCTGCCCTACCTCTCTTGCTCGGGCACACACCATCAGAGGGGGTTGTGGGTAGTGATTTGGTGGGTGGGGGGGAGGTGCTGTTGGTGAGAGGTGAAGTGAAGGAGGTAAAAAGGGTGGGGAATGGTGAAGGCGAGTGCTCTGTGAGTAGTCAGGCCGCCATCAGCAGCCGGAAAAACCTCCGGCAGCGGGGTACCAGCATGAGGAGGGGGCGGGGTTACACAGAGGGGGTGGAGGGGGGCACGGTACTCACTGACAGCCTATAGTTCTGCATCATTTTATCAAACTCCTCGTCAATTTTTTTGTATTTCTCCTCAGTGCGGGGGGTGAGGGAGAAGGGCTCCTCGGGGTCTGGGCTCTCAGAGTCCCGGTGCTCTTTCTTGTTCAGAGCCTTCGTTCCCCAAACAAAAGGAGAAGAGGGCAGACACGGAGAGAAAGAGAGGTAGATAGAGAAAGAGAAGAAGAGAAAGGGTAGGTTAAATAAGGTGACAAAAGTGTGACGGTACTCACGCCGTAGCGTTTGAAGAGGCTGTCCAGGTCCTCGGTCTTGCGGTACTTGTCTTCGTTTAGCGGGCTTTGGTCGATGGAGTCGTCCCCGTCGGGCTCGGGGCTGTTGCAGCCGTTAAAGCCTTTCTTTCGCAACGTCTGAAGCGTTCAGAGAGGGGTAGAGGAGGAGAAGGAGGAGGCACATTTACATTTCATTGTTCATGCACATTTTTGGGGTCACCACTTAGATTTTTAAGACACACTTTGATTTCACACAAACACAAATGACCATCTTAAATTGCACATGTCTGCTGACTCCCACACTGTTCATTGTATGAAAATGAAGCAGTGAAAATCAGATGGAAGTGTTTGACCCTGGTGATAACATGCAAGGATGTTGTGGTTTTTTTTTTCTAGACGCGTCTTCAAGAAGTAGAGAAAGGGCCTCGCAGAAAACACATTCTCAACCTCTGATAATCCTTGATTGATTTGTGAGGTCAATGTTCATAACATCTGCCGCCCACGTGAAAGCAAGTTATTACCACTGAATCCGAACTTGCTCACCCAGCAGGTGCTCTCGGGAAGTCATGGATTAAAAGGGTGAAGAAACTACTGACTAAAATTTCAAATAGAGAAAGCTTTGAAATCAAAGGATGTGGCTTTAGAAAACAAGCACCCCCATCTTTACCGAATGCAGAAGATCTGCTGTAGCTGCCCGAGGCACTTTTACAGGGCGAGAAACTATGTATAAACCCGAGCTGCATGTCAGAAGACATACTGAGGCATCACACCTCTACACACCGGCTAATCAACAGTGTTACTAATTGGTGTGAAGCTTTGCGCTGAGGAAAGTGGTTGAACGAAGCAAAAGGGTAAAGGATGTGTTAGGAAGCACGCGGTGGTGTTAGCGCCATGGCTAACGGCAGTCAGGTTGTGTCAGTGTTAGCACACTTTGGAAAGGGCGAGAGGAGAAAGAGGGAGAGCGGGGGATAGAGCGAGAGAGAGAGATAGAGGCTCTTATTTTGAGAGGATTCTGCTAAACGAGATTTGCCGTTAAGTAGCTTTGCCTGGTGGGCCCTTGACCACACAGCCAAACAGACGGATCCTCGCAGCAAAATGGATCTTAAACTGGAGCTGGAGAGCCGTCTGTGGTCCAAATACAAGCTTTAGCCCTGAGTGGCATAAGATGAAGAAGAAGAAGAAGAAAATCCCTCGGCTTGAAATCTATCAGCAGAAGGAAATAAAGACTGTAGTACGATCAAATCATTTCCATCTGTATTTGAGTCCTGAAAACCTTATTTCCTTAAAACACTTAAAAAATCTGTCAGTGCAGAAGAAGAATATTGCATCAGGACAGACTTCCTCAGCTTTTTTCAAGAATTTTAAACTTGATTTCGAAACAAGTTGATTTGTACTGGAAACAAATTAAAATAATGAGTTTTAGTTATTAATTAACAAAATAAGACTTTCAATGCAAAGTGATTTTACATGTTTAAGCTACAAATCATGTGTTCTTTATATCATGGTTAACCATGTTGTTGCATTTAAAGGACCAGTGTGTAGGTGCAGATCTCCCTCCACATGTGTAGGAGGAACTATGATGGCCCTTTCTGGAGCCAGTGTTTGGTATGCGCTCTGGACTACTGTGGAAACGGCTGTTCAACATGGCTCATTCTAAGTTACCAAAAACATAACGCTTCATATTTTCAGGTGATTATACACTAATGAAAACATAACTATGAATATTATATTCCATTTCCGCCAATAGATCCTCCTAAATGTTACAACCTGGAGCTTTAAGAATTGGCTTTTTTCCTGCTTTTCTTGGCATCCATTGGTTTCTACTCAGTTATGTACATTATGTTAAGCTATTAGCAGACTCTTAACTTAGAGCAGCAAGAATTGATTTTTTTTTTTGGGGGGGGGGGGGACTTAGGGACAATGGAACCAGCTGTAAACCCAATATTGACATATTATGACCTTATGAAGGTGTTATGGCGAACTTGTTGGCAAACAGCTACCTATACTCAATTCATAGTTAAAACTAACAAACTAACACAAAAACACTGGTTTGGTTCTTTAAGGGCTCGATTACAGACAAATACTATACGAATGAGATGTATTAAATCATAGATTATCCATTAGAAACAAAGTACTCTAAGACCATATGCAATACTTCACACACCCTATATTTTCTTTAATTAATTATGCTGTGTCAAGTCTGACTGCAGTCTAGTGGTGGTCTGATTAAAACATAAGCACATGTTCCACGACTCCCACCGCGCACAATCAATGCTAAGTGAGGATGATTCAACTGCATGCAATTCAGCCTCGGAAGTAGAGCTGGCGGTAACGCGTACCTGCAAGAGCGCCCGACAAAACCCAGAGGAGGCAGAGACAGAGATTCTTTTAATTTCGCATGAATTAGTCTTAAATCCTCAAAACAGGTGAGGGCAAGAGGGTAATGATGCCATGTGGATGTCGGGGTAAAGAGACTTGCAGTTTTAATAACAATAGCACTCTTTGATATGAATCTCATTAAAACTCGAAGCCATTATTATTATCGCAGTGTCAAAGCTGCGTTTTATCTACCCACAGAAACGGGTTATTAGACAGATTTGTTCCAACACGGAGACAGTCGCCTGATTCAGCTGTTCAGTCTCCCCAGAACAAGTCAGCGCTCTGATCTGCAACTTAATGCAAATTTAACGCACGGCAGCCGCCACCACATGCTTTGTTGTCCACAGTTCATAGAAAACACACTCTGCAGTGATAGTTGGTGTGCAGATATGTGCGTGTTCTGACCTAAAAACCGAGGGAACAAAAGAACCATAGGGAAAATAAAATAAATATGACTAAAACCACTTCAACATGACAATGACGGCATGTGACACAGGACTGCGTGGAGGATGTGATCGGGGCGTGGACCTCCTGCCCCCGACTGTCAGGACACAAAGAGATAAAGAGCCTGCAAACAAAACTGTGATGACACTGGAGCCATGTTGGTGCATCGTTCACATGTACTGACACACACATGCACACACATTTGTACTTCAAAACTTGTGAGGACATGATGATACAGTGACATAATTCTGGTCTTCTGTAACCCTAATGTTGACCATCGCAACCACATGTCTTACCCCAACCACAACCCAAACCATAACCTAAAAGGATAGTTCCTCTTTATTACTACTCTTCTATTTATGTTTGTCACACTGTGCTCAACAAAAAAGATTGCTGAGACTCTGGAACATGGGAACAATATTGCGAGTCTGATACGGCAAGAAACACGAGCAATCTGATGATCAACAATTTTCCAAAAACACTTTTTTGGAGGTGAATCTGAACGTGAGCACCTCTAAAATGTTGCTAATAATTTTTCATTGAGCTGGAACTCAATGATAAGTATCGTACATCAAAGGGTGTGTCAGGTGTTGTTGGTATAATGGCCACAACCGGTACTGCAGGTCACATGATGCAAACTGCCGCAAAAACACTTCTTACCCATCCACAATCATTATGGAAGAAAATGCTAAGAAATTATGAGTAACGCCTTCCGAGCACAAATTGACTCTTAGGGAGATTTTAACCATTTGGTCCAACAAAATATAAAAATTCATGAAGACTGAAGGGATTCGTGTATGCAGGGAGTCATCAGGAAGTCAATCTCAAAGAAGTTTTCCTAATACATCCATAGTAAACTGTGTTGGATGTGCAAATTGACCTTTTTCCCACACTCTGTCTTCTAAATAAGTTTGTGTAACCTGGTAGGTTCTGATCGTCTGAGTGCTTCTTGACTGGTTAACTGCATTTTAGAAAGGTCGCACTGTTCCCAGAGCTTAGAAATTAACTTGAGTACGATGTTATATTAATCATAAATCCAAGTCTTCTCTCAACTCTATCCCCAGACAAGAACATCAATATTGGATGTTCCTGCAAACCCCCGGATTATGTTCAGTGATGTTTGTTTCATCAAATGCCAGCTTTTTTCAGATTCTTACTTTGTACAATACCCGCACATGGCAACTACTGTATGGTTAAGGCAAGGGAAAATTTGTGGTTATGGCAAACAAACTACGGTTATGGTAGAATTAGGCAACTAAAAACACATGGCTGAGGCCAGGGAAAGATCGTTGTTATGGTTCTTAAATAGGCAAATTAATCATACACCTCTGACTGGAAATGAAGTTGCCCATCTGCCAATCCCGAACTCCACACTTTTACTTTCCACCCACATCCTGCACTGGCACTAGAAGTGGTTACTGGACATAAATCGGTACTGAATCATCCAATATGGACCGAACTCTCCTGGAGACACTGGGCTGACCCTCATGCAGCCTTTCGACGAGGTGAGGACCAGACAAAAAGTCTTCGCATTACGATAATGTCCTCACTCTCAAGGTCTACAGCTGAAATTGCTGTTCCTGTAAACACAGCGCACTTCCTTTTTCGTCTCTATATTCCTTCATTGCACAAACACACACTGGATGTATTTCTTTATCTTCTCTCTTTCTCTCTCTCTCTCTCTCCCTTTTTCTCACGTAAACACAACTGATATTTTGTGAACATTACGGTGCAAACATGGGCATCTTTCCCTTTCTTTCTCTCTCTGTTTCTCTTTGTTTCTCTGCTTGCTCTCTCACACAGTGAACATTTGTGTTACAGTACATTCACATGCTCTCTTTCTCTCGCTCTCTCTCACACACACACACACACACACACACACACACACACACACACACACACACACACACACACACACACACACACACTCTGTAGTCCACTGATCAGCTTGTCTCTCACTCAGTCAGCCATCTGTTCACCTGTCCGTCGTCTCTCTCTCCCTCTCTCTCTCTCTCTCCCTCTATTGTGTTGCCAGGGTAAGATTCACCCTGCAGAGCACCA